TTTTTTTTATGCATATACTCACCCACTCACCCTCCCATCGTTTTGGCGCGTAGGTTCAAGCCCTTCGACGTCTCGCGCAACTGGCCCGACCTCGGCGCGCGCTTCGTCGCGGGCGAGCGCGCGGCGCGGCAGGCGGCGGACCCGGACACGCCGCCCGCGGAGTGGGCCGACCGTGTCGCGGACGATAAGCGCGATTTGGACTGGGCGACGGTGGTGAAGCGCACGTTTGAGGCGTATGTGCGCGGGGAGCGGCCGAATGCGTATGGGGAGTGGTTGGCGTGGTGAGTGGGTGTCGTAGCATCTGAGGTTAGGTGCGGTGAGGCGGGAGGACTTGGACCATGGACTCGGGAGGGACCTGCATGCATGCGTTGTCGTGTTTCATAGAGACGATTAATAATTTACCCCCATCATATTGCATCTGCACGCCCACATATCGCGCTCGTTAGCTCGCTGGATTTCTGTTCACCGTACTACCTACCCCCTTCGTTTTTTGTTACGACGGACTATATATTACTTACTGCAGTTTCGACGTCTGTGGTTCATGACGTAGCGTATTATTTTATGTATCGGATATACCAGGATTTTATCTTCTTCTGCTTTTGTTCTGCGATATACATCGTCAGAAATGAGATGTGTGGAGTGGGTAATAGGAACAGAGAGATGCCGAGCGAACTGTTGCTTGAGGAATGGCGCCGGCGGAGCAACTCAAAAGGTCGTGTTGTAAAGGCCTGTGCCACGGGTAGGTGTTACTGGTACTTTATTCCATGTCTTCTAGTTGGCTCATAAAGATGACATTCGTCCGAGGCCGAGTCACAGTCAAGTTTCGTTGAGAAAACCTGGTCTGGAGTGCTGTACTATATCTCGTCCGATAGACCGCCTATCATCTCCGGTGCCCTATCCTCGACTCCGAGTCGGAGGATACCGCAAATGTGCACTGGCACCCCCGTTCCCCTGGGCCACAGCGACCGGCCTGCCAGCGCCTTGGTTCTCGACGTCGGCAGTCCCGCGTCTCCCGATTATTCCTGACAGCAGAGGCCTACGAGGACTGGCGGCATGCTGCCCCTGCCCTCCCGGGCCCGCGACGAGCCCGTTCCTGGTCTCTTTTTTCTCCTCCGACTTTGAGGAGAGCGAGGAGCCGATGGAGACGTAGACGACCCAGAGCACCATGTTCCCCGTGAGTCCCAGGATGACGCCAACCAGGATACGGGTCGCGGTTCCTGCGCCATTGAAGGCGACGAAGGCGAATGCAATGACGAACGATATCACACTGAAGAAGGTTATCCCACGTTCGTATCAGTTGAATGGCAAAATAAACCGGGATTCTGAAAGAAAAAGAGCTCACCTCCACATCAGGAAACCGAATGGCAAGCTGTACATGATGGCGACCATGTCGACGCCGAGAACCGAGTTGGCCATGTTCTCCATGAATTCCCGCTATGAGCCCTCCCTCTTCAGCTGGCTTTAGATAAATCAAGAAAAGGTATAGCACATACCGCCTCCTCGACTTTCTCGTGTCCCTTTATGCGGTTCTGTCTGACCATAATTAAGCTCAGAATAAGCGACCCAAGACTCGTAACAGTTGAAACGAAGCTGATCATCTGCGCCACCGTCTGCGTGCTCGGCTGCCCCTGCAGTGTTACATCCGGGAGCGCAAGAAACGCAACATTTGCGGTCAGGATGATGGTCGACTACAACAATGCCCAAAAAGAAAAAGAAAAAGCTTGTCAGAGACAAATGACACCTTCACCACACACCATCGCCACGCACATAAAGCGTATAATCCTGCCACTCCCGATTCAGCGTCGTCACGAACTGCTTCCACGGCACCTGGTTCAGCATGTCGTCCACCCAGATGTTCTTCAGGCTCTTCATGTGCACGTCGGGCGCCCCGAGCATGAGTATATTTGCCACGTGGAAGAGGTACGAGCGCTGTCCGCCTTTGCAGTAGATCGACTGGTTCACACGCAGGCGTGCGCCCTTTTGGCCGTGGAAGTTGACGAATTTGCTTTCGGCTGTTCATATTGATATGAGTATCGTCGAGCGTTGATGGGTGAAGAGATGACGTACCGAACATTCTGAGGTATCTCGCTAGTTTAGAGGCTTAGCCCAGTGTTCCATACAGAACGAGAATAATAAGAAACTCACAAAGGATACACATCGAGTACTGGCACCGCAGCCCCGCTTTGCCTTCCCTATCGTCAACGCGAACGTATTCTAGTACTTGGCATATGCTCATGAGCTCGTCGAGGCTGAACGGCGACAACGGTGTCCGCGCCGTGAGAAGCTCTGGCATCCGGGCGCATGTTGGATTTAACACGAGCTAAATTTTTGAGAGAGTTGAACACACGAACCTGTGATGGCATGCAAGGTAAGGCTCCTCAACTCATCGAAGAGATGCTGGTGTACCCGCTTCTCATGCGGAAACAACTCGCAGTGAGTCCTGGGCTCGGTCAGCTTTGTACGGATGATCTGTTTGTACCCTCCTGTTAGGTGCCTAATTATCGACGTGATATGGCGCACCATAATAAAAATCAGATGCACCAATACTCCACCTCCACCGCATACTCTGTTCAAAGTCAATATAACAACGACTGAAAGCGAGCACAAGCGTTCAGCCACATACTCTTGTGCTCTTCAGACTTGACGCCCTTCAGGTCCGTCAACTCATTGCTCATCTTGTACTCGTCCAGCCAGAACAAAGTGCGGCTCTGAGGACAAACATAATAGTACCCATATTTCGGCTTCTCGTTGTTGAGGTGCAGACGTTCAACGACGAGCTCGGCGCCCTCGGGAAGGTCGGACATCTCTTGTCTGCGGCGGTGCTCCAGGATCAGGACACACCAGCTGATTTCCGACGCGGTTTTGGCGGCGGATTCGCTGCCCTTGGCGCTGTCTATATCGTACAGGTATGAGTCCGTGAATACTTTCTGTGTGCGGATACGATTTAGTATTACAATACCATGAGTATGAAAGTGCATATACGCACCAACTTTGCATCTATGTTGCCGGCCTGGTAAAAGTATGGCGCTCCTCCTGGGTGTATGCGCTGTTCCCATGAAAACCCAATCTTGTTTAGGTCTTGAAGCTGGTCATGATATTTACGGCTGTACGCTCGTTATATTGCTCGTCCTCGATCAGATGATGCACTTACTCAACAAACTCTGTCTTATGCGCAGGTATATCCAATCCGCACGTCGGGTCGCGAGTGACGCGTCTGTAAAAAGGCCTGTCAGTGCCGATGAATGGCATGACGAGGTTAGTAGTAGCTCACACTCGGATCTTGCGTTCACCTCGGAGGACTTGACATGCCGCCATAGGAACAAGCTCGACCCCCTTTTCCTTGACCTTTTGGTGAAACGACTCTGGGACGTTAGCGATAGACCATGGTATAGTTGGCATCTTGACGGGGGGTAGACCTGGTGGGGGAGGCAGGGTAGTATGGTTGTAGGGAAGAGGGAAACTCGGGGTGGTGGTATTGCGCGGAGGGGGTTCGTGCATATACGATATCGTCTGGATGGGACATGCGGACCGAGACACCAGTTGGGACAGGCGAGAGAACACAGACCATAGGAGCGGGATTAGCTGTCCAGAGCGGCTATCTGCAAGTTTCCTAACCCATGTCCGCAGGGCGAGAAGAACAGCGCGCATATGCATGCCGACAAGTGCAATGCGGAGGGAAGCGATGAATGAGGGCCATGGGTATGCACCGATACATATGTATGGATATGGGCGTCTATGGGTCCATGGTTCTTTGTCTATCCTTGTACTCTGGGGCGAGACTGGTGCACAGGATCCGCACAGCAAACTTGACGGCGCTTGTCACGAATACAACTTGGTTGCTACGTTTCGAATGGATTCACAACTGGCTGCACTTTGCAGCTAGTTTGTATTCGCGAGCATTGTCAAGACGAGGAGAATCATAGAATAAGTAAGCTGGGGTATGGTTGCCTTTCGCGTGTATGCAGGACGACTCGGAGCAGGCTGAAGAAGGGAAAGAAAGCTTCACAGGGGAACGCGGCCGAACACCGGGAGCTCTCGGAAGTTTCCGCTTTCGAGTTGTGCGAGGCTCGAGCGTCTTGAACGTGAACTACCTTGACTTCAGAGCGCGATCCAAAGGCCCAAGGTATGTATATGTCACTACATCCTTCTTTGAGATCCCTTCGACGCTGAGCTCACCCTGACAGAAAGTACACGACGTTCCTGGTTAAAGAAAGCCGGCAGTGGTCCACATGGCGACTTTGCTTGGTTGATCTCGAGTGATCCTTGAACGACATGCCAAGACTGCTAATCTGCGGGGAAATCCTGCCCCGTTAATTGGATCGCAATGAGGTACAGACATCATATGTCCTTTTGCCGCCCACTATCACACTTTATCGTCGCCCTCAGCACATGGTGGTCTACTCCGGGTACAAAAGTTATTCAGGGGCCCATCACGGCTTATGGGATCACTACCACGCCCAGTGCTCGTCGTCCTCTGCGCTGGCAGCTGCTTATAAGCGCTGCTCGTTGATTCCATGGCTTCAGCTTCGCCACCCTTTGGTGATCCCTCCTTGGTCGGTCGACTTGGCCTTCGTGCACGAACACTAGGGTCCACACAGCTTCACCTACTCTATCATGTCCTCTATGTTCCTCACGCTCGCCCTCGCCGGCCTTGCCGCGGCGTCTCCTGCGCCGCTTCGTCGTGATAGCATCAGCGCGCTTGGAACGTCCACAATCAACAGCTTCACACCCTACAGCTACTTCGCCTCCGCAGGGTACTGTGCACCCGCTGCGACGCTCGCCTGGAACTGCGGCAGTACGTATCTCCTCTACTCCATCCCTTTCCTCCAAAACCAGCCTAGCTGACATCAAGTTGCGGTTCAATAGCCAACTGCGACAACAACCCAGGCTTCAAGCCAATCGCGTCGGGCGGGAACGGTGACTCGGTGCAGTACTGGTACGTCGGGTACGACCCGGCCCTCAACGAGATCATCGTCGCCCACCAAGGGACGAACCCGAGCAAGTTCGAGTCGCTCCTCACTGATGGCGAGTTCGTGCTCGAGCAACTGAACGACAATTCGATCCTGTTCCCGGGCCTCCCCGACTCGATCGAGACTCACGACGGATTCAAGAAGGCGCAGGCTGAGTACGTCTACCTCCGTCGTTTTTTTCTTTGACAACAAACGCGCTAACGACGTTGTCATGTAGCACCGCAGCAGACGTCCTCGCTGCTGTGCAGGAAGGCATGTCCCAGTACAGCACCAACGCCGTCACGCTCGTCGGGCACTCCCTCGGCGCCGCCATCGCGCTCATCGACTCGGTCTACCTCCCGCTGCACCTGCCCGCGAGCACGTCGTTCAAGACATACAACTACGGCCTCCCGCGCGTGGGTAACCAAGCGTTCGCGGACTATGTCGACGCAAACGTCCACCTCACGCACATCAACAACGAGGAGGACCCGATTCCCATTGTCCCCGGCAGGTTCCTTGGATTCGTGCATCCCGCTGGCGAAGTGCACATTGAGGACTCGGGCAAGTGGGCGAGCTGCCCTGGTGAGCTCTTCTTCCGTTGTGTTGCCTGTGGTAGGCAGGGACTGACACATTGGCCAGGCCAGGATAACGACAGTGGCGAATGCATCGTCGGCGACGTGGGCAATATCTTCGATGGCGACCTCGACAACCACAGTGGCCCCTACAACGGCGTCACGATGGGGTGCTGAGCGCACCCAAGTATGTGTACACCATATACTTTGGAGGTACCTTGTAAAATTTGATACTTATTGGACATGTCGCGTCAAGGCTTCAATCCATCTTCATGTACATTACTCCATGGCCTTATCTAAGCATGACCACCTTTGCTTCGGCATTGACTCTATACCACGCCTTCTCAAACACTACTCCCAATCCCGCGCGCTCCGACACACCCATACTGTCAGTTGGGTGCATTGCGATAACGTACAGCAGAAACCCTGCATATGTAGTGCTAGCATCGACATTTGTTGCCCACGTCGCGTTATGTGTTCCATAGCTGCGTCCGGTAACAGCAAAGTCCATCTGTTGATGTGAAGGTTGATGATTGGGTAGGATGATGCGCCCAATGATACCCAGATCGTGCTCGTCCGAGGCAATAGAAAAAAGGGAGTGGTGCTCGCCCGTAACACCGGGTCCATCCTGTACTTCAGTGACCAATAGACTAGCCACCAAGGTCTTGAAGACGAGTGTCCCAGGGGCGAGCTGGACATTCGAGGGAGTTTGCCAGCTCTTGTCCCACTTTGGGATCATGTAGGAAAGCTTTCCCCAGGCAGGGTCCACCACGACACGGTCCACCTTGCGCACGTCAAGAATATTGAGCCGTCCTCCGTCATCGACCATGTGCCATACATCAACAAGCGACTCGCCAATACGAGGCGACGATCCACCACTCCCGAAGACCACAAATTGATCCTCCCCTTCATACCGCACCGGGCTCCGCCAGCCCGTAAACGCCCACGACGGAAACATCGCACGCACCTCCCCATCCCTGCCAACCACCTCCCGCCGCTCAGCACGAACACCAACCACAGGCTGCCACAGCATCGCCGTCTCGAGCTCCGTAACCGCCATCCCGTATCGAAACGCCCGCCCCGGGTCCCCGCCCGCGAGCCCGTACGCCTTCGCAACGGCGCTCGTGAGCGCCGAAAACGCGTCCACCGCGTCGCCCTCGTTCGTCAGCCGCCGCGCCGCATAGCTCTCCACCGAGTGCAGATAATCGCCCACCCAGATATCCGTGTTCCTGAGCCACTGCGCTGGCTTCTGCGCAAACATGAGCCGGCCAACGACGCCGGTCTCCAGGCGGTGCGTTGGGCATTCGCCATCCGGGAGCTCAGCGACGAGATCTTCACCCCAGACGCATTTGTTGCATTCGAAGATAACTTGAGAGGGCGTGAAGAGCAGGCGGCGCGGCGAGAGCATGAGCTCTTGATATGTCCATCCGCGCGAGTTCCACGTCGTGCGCGCGAGCGCCTCGCGCGATGCCGGGAGGGGCACAGCGAACCGCAGGCCTTGGACCTCTGCTATGTGTTGCGACGAGACGCGGGTGCCGGGGCGCAGGCCGGGGAGCGGGGCGTGTGCGCTTGAGCCGCCGGCTGAGAAGACGGTGAGCACGGCACGTCTGTAGACGGCGTCCATGGCGCCGATGTTGACTGCTTTGTCAGCGGGATCGTTTTGGGCGATGCACAGTGCATCAATCCAAAGATGCCGCTCACCCAGGAGGCGTGTGAGAAGAATAGCATCTGTGATGGTCGTTGGCAATATGTCCAACGAGACACCGCCAGGCGCTTTACGCTGAGTCAAGTTTTCCTTGGTTGTCCAGTACGCCGTATTGGCACCTTCTGCGACGTTGCCCCAGACGTAGCTGAGTGCAATGTACCGGATATTTCGACGCGCTGGGACCAGAGCCATATCCGAAACATCAAGCAGGCGCGCAGCAGACGGCAAATCCCACTTCTCCGTCGGTGCCCACCACGGCTCAGCACACTCCGCCCCATGCGTCCGCTCACACAGCCCAATCCAACGCCTCAGCAGCTCCAGGTCCACCATATCACGCACAACGCGCCCATGCAGCTCTTGTGACCTTCCTAGCTGATGCGCATCATCACCCATAAGCTGCAGCTCCGGTACAAGTGCCATGTGCGTCTTTTCCATAGCTTGGCTGATCTCTTTTGGGCGCGGCAACCCCCGCATGCATATGCGAGTTCCAAAGGAATAAATAGTGAGGTCTATTGCTGAGAGGTCGACATGAGGGTGCTCGTCAAGGAGCCAGGAACGGCGGATGGAGGCGGAGATGAGAGAGCAGAGTGTACAGCTAGAAGATCGTGACAAGATGTTCTCCAGAAAGTCAAAGGGGGTAGGGTGTTGATAGGAAGTAGGGTCCAAGAAAAGCTGACGAAGGTCGAGTTGAGAACACTTGTTGCATAATGAAGAGCTGCCGGGGGTACGCGAGGGTCGTCGTTCGGATGCAATGGTACTTGAGCTGACTGAGGACAAGGACGCGCTGTTGCTGTCTCTGTCTTTGTGAGTACTTCCCTTAAAGAGTTGACGGAGGGAATACTTTGCTCCGTTCATAGGCATGAACAGCTGAACGAGCTTAAAGAGACGTACCAGTAGCGCTCATTCAAAACACCTTGACAACATCGGTCCCAAATCCATCATACACACGCGTTTGCCCCGGATAGTTCACAAGCTCTAGCAACAAGAAGATCCAATTTTGCAAGCGTGTGTATGCGCTGATGCTGATGAAGGAGGCGTCACCGGAGGTGAATACATAGTTTGTGTCAAAGAGAGATGTCAACAACAAACGGTCAACGCGTTTCGCGTTACACCTGCGGTCTCGGTGTTTGCCGAACAGCGGGAGCCCCTATTTCTCATTTAAACGCTCATCGTCGAGCTCGAAGCACTTGAACAGCTCTTCAATAATATAACACTAATGTTTCTGACTGATAAAATTCTTACACACTTCTAGATATACTTTGGAGGAGCCCCGCCACTCGAATACGCAGGCAGCTCCTCCAACCCAACCTCTTCGCTCCCATCAACATCGACATCCAAACCACCAGCACGACGCCCACCTGCATCAACGTCTGCAGCCCGAACAACGTGACTTCGATTAGGCTCGGAGAAAAACTCTCTTGACAAGGCGACGTTAACCACGATCGGTCGTGCACGGATCAAGGGTGCATTCAGACTGAACGGTCCCCAAGGTTGCTCTTGCACTAGGCCTGAGACTGCTAGTTCTCGTTGCTGCGCTTCATATCGGCGATAAGATACCCATATCCTGCATGTAAAGTGAACAAATGTGAGCAGATATCTACTTAGAACTGAGAAATCGTGACGCACCTTACAATCATAGAGATAAATGCGATCCCTATGAGGACCACTTCTGTCGCCACGTTCTGTCGGTTAAGCATTATTGTTAGCATAAAAATACAATAGCTTAGTTATAGGTCAAGCAACCCAGGGGGGAAGTACTTGCATTTCTCGTCATGGTTGTAGCAAGCCCGTGTTTTTCGGTGGAAGGAGATACGGTCTCGCTGATATGTTATAGAAACTAATTCCAGTCTCAGTATTTATATGGACGCACCACTCGTGACGCCTCGGTTTGTTAAGACGTGGCGTACCGCGTGGCCCCGCTCTCGGCCAGGGGTAAGCTAAACTGTACGTGGTTGGCTCTCGAGAACAAGCCTAAACTTGCAGAGCACAGGCTCTGCGATGTATGGCTGTGTTGAGAAAACAAAGGAACAGATGTTCGGCCGAACATCCAAATGGATATTAATACACGTTTTTGCCTTACTTCATTGTAACATGATCACGTCCGTACTCAGACTTGCCTCCACCCAAGCCCGTTCGAGGATGACACCAACACCAATCCTCTCCCTCTTCCCAACTTCCGAGACGGGCCTAGTAGCCATGACGTTCAACAGAAATCCTTGTTCGACTATGTTGGTGTCGGGCGTGACCCAAGGAAGATTATCGGACTTCTTGCAGCGTGAGAGCGCAAGGAGCTGGATAGTTGCCGGTGAGGGGTGCATCGCAGGGAGAATGATGCGGCCGACAACATCTTGGGGGCTATTGAGGGCGTGAACCGAGAAGATCGCATGGTGTTCCGTTACAAGGGTGCTATAGTCTTCGTACGATGCGGAATCAGCTACCGCGACGCGGAAAGGAGCCAAACTTGTCCGGAATACCAAAGTCCCGGGCTTGAGGTGTACGTTTGATGGAATGGACCAGGCGCGATCCCAGCGAGGAATAACGTACGGTCGCGGCACGTCAGCATGGTCACTGTTGTGCTCGATGAAAGTCGAAACCTCGAGCTGCGTCAGCCCAAGGTCTTCATCGACAATGAACCACCGATCAACGAGTGACGCATCGAGACCTGGATAAATTGTCATTTGCTCCAGCCCTGCGAATTGACCGTCGTCCATATACCGAATCCGCCCTCGCCATCCCGACCACGCCCACGACGGCCACGGTATCTTGTTCCCCATGTACTCCTCGAGCACCCTCCTCTCATGAGGGGCGTACGGATCCGGCGTCCACAACAACGCTAGATCCATCTCCGTCACCGGCATCCCATAGTGGAACGCCTTGCGCGGATCACCACCCGCGAGACGGAACCCCTGCGCGCACGCATTCGTCAGTGCCGACATCGCATCGATGATGTCTGTCTCAACGCTGAGATGCCTTCGCGTGTACTTTGAAAGCACATGCATAAATGACCATACCCAGCGCTGCCTTAGCCAATCGCTTGGTCGTCCGGCCGAAATAAACTGACCGCCGCCTCGCACAGAGAAGGGGTGCTGCTTCACGGCATTGACCAAGCCTGGACTCTCGGCAACAAGATCTTCACCAAAGAGGTTGGCGAGGCACTCGAAGAACACTTGATCGTCTGTGAAGTAAAGACGCCGACGAGAGAGCATGAGCTCCTGGTAGGTCCAGCCCCGCGTCATCCAGCGCGAGTGAGCGAGCGCCTCCTGTGGCGTTGGGAGGGGGACGGAGAGATGGAGGCCTTGGATCTCTTCGATCTGCTGGTGGACAACGCGCGTGCCGGGACGGAGACCAGGGAGGGGTGCGTTAGCGCTGGTGCCGCCCGCTGCGAAGATGGTGAACAGCGAACATCCGTATATGCGCTCCATGGCGCTGATTTGAAACGCCTTGTCTGAGGGATCGTCCTGTTTGATACAGAGCGAGTCGACCCACAGGTATCGTTCGCCGAGGTCGCGCATGAGCAGGATTGTGTCGGATATAACAGTTGGGAGGGCGGACTTGGGGAGACCACCGGGCTGCGAGCGCTCGGCGAGATTGGTGCTGGTGGTCCAGTACGAGTCGCCGGGGATCCCCCACATATAGCTGAGCGCGACATAGCGGCAGCCAGGAGGCACCTGGACGATTGCAGAGTCCCGGACGTCAACCATACGCACGGTGCTAGGCAGCGTAGCCGTCTCGCCCTCTCTCCACCACGCCGACGCGCACAACCCCTCGTGTGTACCCTCACAGATACCCATCCATCTCTTTACCAGTCCCATATCCACCACCTCCGTAACTCGTCGCCCATGCAGATCCGGCGATCGACCCAACAGGTGCGCATCTTCTTCCATGAGCTGTATCTCGAGCTCGAGGGCCGTCTCAGCGGCTATCATCGCGTCGATAACTTCGATTGGTCGTCCGATGGGGCGTATAAACAGACGATGTGCAAGCTCGGGAACGGGAGGAGGAGGATCGCGGATGTTTCCGCATTCTCGAGCGTAGATCGTGAGTTGAATGGGAGAGAAGTCGATGTCGGGATAGTCATGTTTGTCCAGCAGCCAGGTGCGACGCAGGACGTTGGATATGAGGGAGCACAGCTTGCAGGTGGAGGCTTTCGCAAGGACGTTGACCATTGTGTCGAGTGGAATTGCATCTTCCATGGTTACTCCACCCTTGAGCATTTGCCGCAGGTTTAACTTGGAGCACTGCGCACATAAGGATTCCTGACGGTCTGCGACTGCGTGCTTCTGTGGATTGTCCATGCGTATAATGATGGTGAACTGAACAGTAATAGCCAGCTGAGGTGAGAGTAAGATGTCCCCTTTACTGGCTGAACGCGCCGAACGACAAGATCAGCCAGCATTAGAGTGAACTGGTGAGAGCCGTAACCACGCACCATCAAGTTCAGTTGCAGCCGCTTTGCTCAAAAGACGCCACGCCTACGGACACCATATCAGGGGTTCTCGATCTTCTCCTTACATCCATAATGTTTGCACATAGCATAGCCTAGGTAGAATTTGGCTGCACAAGTAATGTTATTGCTCAGGAGGGGGTGGCATAACGGAGACGAAGTGGAGAGGTGGAAGAGTTTTGTCTTTCCGGCCCTCGGGATTGGCCGAAATGACATTATCGGAGTTTCATTCAAGGCTTCAGATCTTTCAGAGCTCGTATCAATCGGTGGCTCGCAACACAGCGCGCGACGCAATCGCAGCGATATGGACTGACGTCCCCTCTGAATCGGCAGTGCTCGCTAACGTCTAGCCGAGTAATTGTTTAGGCTTGATTCTCTCGTATTGCACATGAAGACGTCGACAGCCCATTTCTAAGTCAGCAGGCCGGAAGCAAGTAAGATTCAATAAGCTAGCATCGTGTGGAAGGCGCTCAACAAGTTTTACACGTGACTATGACCAGAGAAACAGATGGAACCGAAAACAGGATTGTGCTTTCCCCCCAAGGATCACCTATCCTGCGAACCTCCACTTTGCGGTCGTTTGTTGCGCTCATTTGGCATCATGTCTCTTTGAAAATCACCACTGGCTGGCCAGAACGCCTCTATGCCGATTTGTTGGTTGTATGTTTTAGCTTTACGATAACAGCCTGAGACATAGGTCGGAGAACGGCTGGCTAGTGGCCATTGTTACGAAAAGTCTTGGTTGGGATCAGCTACTTCAGAACAGGGAAGTAATTCTATCGCGCTGCGTATATTTTTACCCATGAAACGCTAGCCTATCGTTCCGATGCGGATATACCCTGTGTTGAATTCGTGAGCCTGTCATCGTGTTCACGTAATCGGCCGACGCCGAGATAAGATAATAAGACACGAGATGGGCGGAAAGACCACCAGACGAGTCACAAGTCCCGGGCCAAGGCTCGGGAAAGCAGAAGCTATTTATTAGAGAATCAGAAGCTAAATACGAGTACAGGAGCTACAGAAGTACTCCTAATGTATTTACTAGTATAAAGGAAGCGAGAAATCATACCTGAGCGCTATCAGCGTATCACACACCCTTTCTAAGCGTGAATCCCAAGACCCTGCTCATCAGCCATACGCCTCGCCAATTTTATCTCCATTTCTGATTGCTTTGGACAATTGGATGTTACTTAGGTTAATTCCGAAGTTCTGGAGTCATTTCGCTATCCGGCGCTTTGGTTTGATCATCGCGCGGCTAGGATTTGTACGTAGGCACTATGAGGACAGGGTCATTTCGCATGGTGACCAGCGGTGATATACATAATTGAAAGCGATCGCGAAGCGCGATTCTGTGAGTGTGTGATCTCCCGCGCGGAAGTACAAGGGCGCTGCGGTTAAGACGCTCCCTACGGTCAGGGACGCCAGGCTCGAGTCAAGGCTACATATATTGACTGCCAAACATATCGAGCTTCTACTAGACAACAACTAAAACCTTGATTACGCGAAGAAACAAGCTGGGTCCATTAGCAGGCGTAGCGAACTTCAAGTCATATAAATTGTTCGATGTTTTACGACCTTTAATGAGTAGCGATGTTCTCTAAGCGTTTTTCTTGCCCTTACAAGGGGTGCACGTTCAGTTCTCATCAACGAAGGGCTGCAAAAACGCACTACACAGCGATTCAGTGAGTGAGAATCGAGTCAGATGATTAATTCCGTTCTGATGTCAATGCTGTATCTAGTTTGCACCAAAAGCCTCTCAAGTGTCCGAGTTGCGAACATCAGACTGCGGATCCTTCTGCACTGACTAAACATCGGAAGCGCATTCACGGCTATGTCCCTATGCGCAGAGGACCTCTCCCCCGCGTTGCAGCAGATTCGGCGATTTGCGATATTCACAACAACACGTACGAGCCAGGTCGAGATGCTAGTCTCTGCGAAGACTGTTTTCAGTGGTTATACGACGGTGAGAATGGGAGATAAGTTTAGGCTATAGAGCCTGCGGCTAATCAGAGTTTTAGACGTTGACAAGATGTCTCTCCCGCTCTTATGACGCTGTTGATTCAATGGTCACAGGAACAGCCGAGGGAGGTGGAGCGGCGCATGATAGCAAGAGTCACTCAGACACTCATATACAGCATCTTCCTGTACGAATTCGTCTAAATTGTTTGATAGATGAAGTTTGAGTAACTCTTTGTTCACGTCTGATGGGACAATCATGAAAAGGCGCCTTCAGCCACCAACCTGATATCAAATTCGCGCTTGTCGCGTCGCTCACGACTGAGAGTGCTCTTATTCTGAATTCAGAGGAGCAACGCGGCCGCAGCGTAGTACAAGGGTCTTTGACGGTACAACTTTAACTTTATTAATATATACTGTTCTCGCTAAATCGCACCTGAGCCATTATCTTGACACACTGTCGGACACTTCTAACCGCCGAACTATGTTTTCATTCAATAACCACGGAATCAGACCGATCGTGTTGCAAATTACTTACATGATAGAGATCATTATATACGACAAACAGTGCTTCGACGCGTTCCTGCGAGCGTATGAGCAATATAGTTGTGATTCAGAGGTTCAGAGCTCGGTGGGCGGCTCAACTATGACTCACTCACAATGATTCAGAGAGTGGGTTTTGTCGTTAATTGTGTTTATCGTGTCTGTATATTCAATGTAAATATCGTGACGTCTCGAGTAATAATTATGCACTAAGCAGCCTTGTATGTATGTTCGCCAGCTGTAGCCAACCATACAAAGTCCGGGGATATTATCGCCTGTAGTTCTGAGAGTCAGAGGAGCGCATTCGATGCCGAGCCCGGCGCTTTACTCTTACAGCTATCACTACCTCATGAGTATAAGCGGCCCAAGTTCTACAAACAATAGCTCACACTACGTGGAAATAAGGGTCGCGTTGATCATGACCCAAACGATGTCAAGGCAAACAATTGCAAGGTCTTATATAAGCTTCGAGAAAATACACTTCTCTTCAGCTCTCTTCCTTTCAACCACACCGCCCTTTCCTCCCAGAAAAGCATCCCGGAAATGCCCTCGCAAGCCCAGGCTTACACAACGCCTGCGGGAGCTGATGCGCACTACCACTTCTACTACCCATATCTGCTTGTGCACGATGACCGGTGGCACCTAGGTCCGACAGTAGTGTGGCCTCACCAGATGCCGCCCTGGTCCGCCACTCAGGCTGCCGCAAGTCATGGTGACCTTAGACCTATGTACTCACCACTCGATGCGAGACTCGTTGATGTCGTGCCCGTACAAGCTCCCGAGGCCGCTTCAGTCCCTTCTCGAGCTCCTCGAGGTGAGGTATTCACGTCCTAGTGATCTCGGCTTCAGCTGACAACTGCTTAAAGGAACAAATAATAGGAAAATGGAATCAATCAACCTTGAGGACAGGGTTAATCTTCTGTCGGAGGACGCGTACACCACCGACGTCACGATGGACGGCTACTATTGCACAAGCTGTGAGACACGCATCAATCTAGACCTTCGTAAGAAGTATGCACAGGCTACCTGGGTTCTACACCGGAAGTTGTGCATCAGAGAACGTCAGGTTTGTAGCTGACTGGCATTTCGTTCGACGTCGAACTGATGCTTTCAAGTGCGAGTATATGGCCGCGCTACGGGCTGACTTCGAGAAGACACTGGAAAATAGGGTGGCACAAGAGGCTGTAGAGGAAGATCATCCAATGACTCGCGAATCACCGGAATCGGATCTCAACGAGATAGTTAGGGGTCTCCTTCGCTCTCCTTCATATGTCCATAACATGTTGCAGCAACATACAGATGAACTTATGGGGGAGAGCGAAGATGTTGCTCTCGAGAACGCAGGCAGGGACGTTCAGATCGAGCGTAGCCCAACGTATGTCATATCTTACTCTGCGGATTAGTCGGCTGAGGCATTGTTGCCAGACCACGACTGGTACCGGTCTTCAGCTGGCCAGAGGAGTTCGACGACGACGATCTGCATGATTGAGTCGCGAACTTGTGATGTGCATAGCTGCACATGCAGGCGATCGCCACCGAAACCCAAGGTGGAATTGGCACCCCGTTTGATCTGGGAATTTTGTCAACATTTTGTCAGGTAAACAGTCGATCATTTACATACTGTAGCTGCATGTTAACCAGTAAAGAAGTAGCCGCTTATCAACAGTCCCCTGACCGAGTCTTCTGCCGTTGAGTCAATGTGCCCGATTGTGACATACTGGTGATAAACTGACGTTGAGATGGCGAGCCTAGCAAAGCGAAGGTAATTGGTGCTCCCGCGACTTTATCGATACATGTCGATGAGCATCTCAGTCAAAGCGGTTGGGCAACGACAAAATGAGCTTGCCTTCGCTCTTCGACCACCTCGGTTGTACGTCAACCACGTTATATGCTACTTCGATGACGCAGAAGTATCTCAGAAGAGGTCTGGTTGATTAGATGAGTTCTGGAACCCATCAACAGGACTTTCTGGAGGACAATTCCGACGGTGATATGACCGGGGCTCGCATTCCGCCACCCATGTTACGGTGATGTACCCGGTGGTAGCATGCTGTGGAGCGTTAAGGTCGACCCATAAGGTGGTCCATCTAGTTTTCCGACGCAGTGAGCAGACCAACTTTTGGTGATCGTGGATGTCAGATCAAGAGAAAGGGGTTCAAGTTTATCGTGCGAACGCAGAGCACTGTCATCCGCGATCATCGGAAGCAATGCCGAGCCGCATCACGCCGTCCTGCCATAACACTCATCATAACCAGCTGGGCTGAGGGATAAGCTCATGCGTCTGCTCTAACCCTCTTCTCTTCAACCCGCAATGCCAATGAGTATTGACAGAAACGATGCAAAGGCGAAGAACCCGTTTATCTTTGACGACGATGATGACGACGACGGCGGGTGGCAGGACATGCCTATCGTAAAGGAGGACGAGTTCGCCGGGGGGCTGGACGAGGAAGACCAGAAGAAGTACCGCTACGCTCCTACTTCTGCCAGAAAAGGGCCCGGCGGTGCGGGAAATGCGACGGGAGATTTGCTCGACTTCGACGACGAGGGCCGGGAATGGCGGGCAAAGGCTGAAGTAGGCGAGGGCGAGGAGAGCTCTTATACAAGGCTCAGGGTCAAGGAAGACGACGATGATGCGGACGACGTTCACCTCCGCACGAAGTATCTCTTCGACGAGGACAAGGCGATGACGCCTCTCAGCCAGATGCAGGCCACCAAAGACATGCTCACCGAGGCGCAGCGCATCGCCTACGTCGGCCTCTGCGCTCTAACCAGCAAGGAGATGGTCGCCTGCGTCCAGAAGGTCAATCTACCGCAGTCAAAACGCAAGGACGTTGTGCACAACACGGAGCTTTGGATGATGAAGATTATGGGTCGTCTGTACTACCACATGGAGCTCGAGACTGCAGGTGAGCTACCCCTTTCCGCGTATCACTAAGTACTCTTTACTCTCGTCTGGCATACTGAACGAGCCTGCCAGAGCAGAAGATGATTGAGAGTCTTGCCATGCACGGCGTCATAGCCGAGGACCTTGTCCCATCCCTCATGACGACGCACACCGTCGCCAACCCCGAGTACGATCCAGAGGAGGCCCGCAGACGAGCGCAAGAGCCCACCCCTGAACCCGCACCCCCCTATCAGCCTGAACCTCCCGCAACACCTACAACTCCCCGAACCGCCACAGGCCCTACCACACCAGCACCCTACCAAACCACTGCCCGCGTCCTTGACCCCACATCCGTCGAGCCCTTGCCCGGCGTCTCAACTACGCTCTCGTCCGTCGACAAAGACGTCACGCTCGACGTGCGGTGGACGATCCTGTGCGACCTCTTCCTCATCCTCATCGCCGACAGCGTGTACGACGCACGCTCGCGCGTCCTGCTCGAGGCCGTCGCGCTCAAGCTCGGCCTCGGCTGGCTCGACGTCGTCAAGTTCGAGGCGCGCGTCACGGAGGCGCTCGAGATCCAGGAGGGCGTCGAGAAGATGGAGAACAAGGAGATCATCGACGGGAGCATGAAGTCGCTGCGCAAGCGGCGGTATATGATGATGGGTCTCGCCACGCTTGGTGCGTGTCTCGCTCGTCTTTTCATGTCTGCCGTGACTTCCTAAACGTGATCCCCTTGATAGGCGGCGGTATCGTCATTGGTCTCTCGGCGGGTCTGCTTGCCCCTGTCATTGGTGCCGGCTTAGGCGCTGCTCTCACCACCTTCGGTATCTCGGGTACGACTGCCTTCCTCGCCAGCACAGGAGGCGCCGCGGTGATCACGACTGGTGGTGTCCTCACTGGCTCTGGTATTGCGGCACGCGGTATGGCCCGACGAACACAACAAGTGCGGACGTTCGAGGTATTACCCTTGCACAACAACAAACGCGTGAGCTGTATCCTCACCGTCCCAGGGTTCGTCCTATCCACTACCCATTCTTCTCCGTACATACGCTTATGTACTCTATACACGCAGGTTTATGAGCGGCAAGCTTGACGATCCACGGTTGCCGTTCAGCGTGCTCGACCCGATCGTGGGCGACGTGTTCAGCGTGCTATGGGAGCCCGAGATGATCCGGGAGACGGGAAGCGCGCTCAAGATTATGACGAGCGAGATCCTTACTCAGCTGGGCCAGACGCTCCTCCAGCAGACGGTCATGACGGCGCTGATGGGTGCGCTCCAGTGGCCTATCAGTCAGTACCTCCTCTCCATCACACATTAATCCTGCTGACTCTGTCCATGATAGTTTTGACGAAGCTTGGATACCTTATCGACAACCCCTGGTCCAACGCGCTCGATCGCGCCCGAGGTGCAGGCGCCGTCCTCGCTCAGCTCCTCCTCCACCGACACCTCGGCGTGCGCCCCATCACGCTCATCGGCTTCTCGCTCGGCGCACGCGTCATCTTCTACGCCCTACTCGAGCTCGCCAAGGCCAAAGCGTGGGGCATCGTGCAGGACGTTTTCCTCCTCGGGAGCACCATCGCGCCCTCGCCCGCGGAGTGGAACGACGCGCGGGCGGTCGTCGCGGGCCGGTTCGTGAACGCGTACGCGGCTAACGACTGGGTTCTGAACTACCTCTACCGCGCGGCGGGCGCGGCGCTCAAGCGCGTGGCGGGGTTGAGGCCGGTGGAGGGGATCGCTGGGCTGGAGAATGTGGACGTGACTGATAAGGTGGCGGGGCACATGAGTTACCGGACATTTATGCCGCTTATTTTGGATCAACTGGGGTTCCCGGTGTCGGCGGATTTCTTTGACGAACCTGTGGTACGTGTGTTCACGTTTTTTTGCCTAGTCACTGGTATAGGTTGGGTGCTCACAAATGTCGATAGGAACCTGATTTTGAAGAAGCCCGGGTCGTCATTCGCGACGAGGATTTGGCGTCGCAGAAGAAATCGTGGTTTTCTCGCGGAAACAAGAAGAAACAGCCAGTTTCTCGCGGCAGCGTCGCCAATATGCGCCCTCCCGCTGGGGTCTCTGGCTCCACGAGCTTCTCTCGGAAGAGCTCCATGCAGAGCGAGAAAACCGGCGCAGCAGGCGACGACGAGCTGCCTCCGCGCGAATCATCAAGCTCTGCGGGGACCCCTGGGCCGTCGAGGCCATCAACACCAGGTACTCCCGGCTCGGCTAATGCGAAGGAAAAGGAGAAACCCTCAGATGCTCAGGACAAGAATGGAAAGGACCCGAAGGACGCGATCCCGCTGCACGCAGGGTTTGATTTTGCCGCGATGCACGCGCTTGTGGGCGAGGCTGCGCCCGAAGAGCTGCAAGTTCGCCCTGATACTATCTCTATTCCACCGCCACCCCCGTACACGCCCAGTGGCTTTGCGTCCTCTCACACTGGTGATTCGAAGACAGAGACAGAAGAGGAAGATGAGGGTGACGCAGGGCTCAGCGCAGCCTTCGGGCGTGGCGTCTCGCTACAGCACGAGGCTGACTACGCCCCCTCATTCTCCCCATTCGGACCCTCGAGCGCCACCACCCACTCGCTCTCTTCACCACACCCACACATCTCGTCTCCGTCCTCCCCCGTTTCCTCCACCTCCACGCATGCATACACCTCCGCAGGCGTACCGCCGGCTTCTCACTCCGGCACCCGTTCCCCGTCCTCGGTTCCGCCAGGCGCCTCTCTGAGTTCTCCCGCCTTCGACTCCACACCTTCTTCGCCCTTCGCCGGCCGATCGAGCTCCTTCGCGAGCCACGATCCGGAGCCCCCCGCGCTGTCCTTCGGCGCGGCAGACGGCTCGGTGTGGAGTCCTCCGCCGTTCGATCCGGGCGTGGGCACAGGGTTCGGAGGCTTTGGGTCTGCTGCCGGAACGTCGATACCGTCGTCTTCGGCCGATCCTCTGGGCTTTGGAGGAAGCAGAGGGTTTGGGCCGAATCTGAGCACGACGAGTGTAGGCGGTGGGTTCGGCGCGGGTTTGGGTCGGCCACCGGACTCGGAGGAGCCTTCGTTGTCGTTTGGCGGTGCGGATGGGAGTATCACGCCTGGTGCTGGCGACCCGTGGCGGTCTAAGCCGGAGAAGAAGGGGAGTGCAGCGCCGAGCTGGATGAATAATCCGTGGTCGAACTGAGTCCTTGCGAGTTTGCGTGGTTGATAGTGTAGGTGTGACAGTGGCGCGGGCTATACGGTGGGTTTCTTGGATGACTATGGTACTCGGCATGCACTCGGTTTTTCGTCCCTAAGCTGAGATACCAAACTGTATATGTTCTGTACAACAGTGTATGTACAGGTCTTGGCTTTAAATTTATAATGCAAAACCGGCTGACATGAGCGTGCATATGGGCGGTTTATGCATGTGTTTTGCTGCTCTCACTAGGAGTCTGTGCTTCGGAAAGCGTCTATGAGGAGATGAACCAGACTTCCTCGTCAATTGACTTCAGGCAGACACTAATTTTTAGCGCTACTCCAAGTCCATTCTCGCCACCATCGATAACAGCCGCGTAACTGGTTTTTGTGAACTAGCGCCGTGGCGTGTGTATGCGATGGCGCTAGCACCAGTGGGCCGACAGAGTTTCGGGGAATCAAGCTCAGGTGCCAATAGGTGCCAACGAAGGACATCGGCGTCAGTGTCAGCCAGCCAATCCCATATTGGCCGTTGCTGTTTGAATCTGCAGGTTGCTTATTTCCCGGATCAACATAAAAATGAGTGCGGGGAGCAGTCGGGACAGTCCGATCGGCGGAACACACAGTTACTTTTGCATTTTCTTCTCAAGCTATTCTTGCTGAGAGTCAGCTTCGAAGAGCATGGCGGGGCGGGCGGTTTTACTTTGTGCTTTTCCGGCCTCTTGTTTATGCCATCGATGTTTGTTTCGCCTTTCCGTTCGCTATATGCAGTCGCTGGCCACGGCGATTCGCTGCCGTCGTATACAACCCCGATCAGGCATTTCCTTGCTCGTTGAAGCTACATCAGTAAAGCTTAAAGCACGATATCTAAGGAAGACGTCACTGATGCAATATGATTATGAGAATCAGCGAGATGGAGATGGAAGGAAGAAGATTCATGCCCGCGGGCGAACCCGTCAAGTTGGGCCGTGCAAACGCTGTCAGCGTCAAGGTTGTCTCGTCTGAGTTTAAAGCCAAAGTTAGCACGTCCCGTTCCGGCTTTCGCTTTGGCACGTTGGCGAAAACAAAAAGTCATCCCGCTGTCGCATGTCTCTCTGCACGCCATGAGCGTTGCGATCATGCAGCGCGATGCCGATGTGCCGAAGAGCCAACGCCGGGTGCGGCCCGAAGGCAATGGGAAGGCGTTGCTTGCGGTCATCACGCATTTGAAGCAACAACAAAAGGATGAGCTGAGCTCGGAAACATGGTAGGACGGCGGAAAGCGGTGGACGTAGCTGGCTGGCGGAACAAAGGACGATAGGCACGCATTCTTGAACATTCCTATCAAAACTCGTGTTTGGGCTTCCCGAGGACATCAATATCGTCAAACAAAAGCACAGAACGGGCCACTGACGGGCCCGTCCCGAGAATGCGGGGTAAGTGGTGCGAGAGGCGCTTGTGATAAACGAAATGAATGCACATAACGACGAGCAACAGCCTGAGATGAATGAACTGATAATTGCGGGGGATGGTAGGACCGATACTCTGCGGATGAATAAATGGTGGCGCTTTCAGTGAGGCGGATGACCCGGGCTAAGCGAACGATAAGCGTGTTGCACCGGTGCATTGCGGTGTGCGTGATTGGGCGTTATTCATTCGAGCACTTCCAAGAAGAATAGCGTGCGAAGAACATGATGTGAAGAGTTGGTGGAGGAGATAACATGTTTTTATGGGAACACTCGGAGAGAGCGTGTTAATGATAAGGTGAAATGTCCGCATGGATGACAGACAGGATGGGAGAAAGAGATGAGTATTGAGAGAGGTATGTCAGTATCCGGTAGCGCGATGACGTGAAGAGAAGGTGGGACGGGGCAGGCACTGGGGTGCTTGCAGGTTTCGTTATAGGATGCACTTCCCAAAGAGTAGAGCACGGAGGACGGGACGAGGCGTGGAGATAATAAATAAGTAGGGAGAACGTGAATCACGGAACAAGGGCGGAGTGGGCATGGGATTGGGATGGAGCGTCAGAGGGATTCCGATAGCAACTGCACTAATATGTTGCCATATCACGAAACATGTTCTCACATTTTTTATCATGGTAGACGTATGGACAAGGGAGGCCAACAAGGCCACGGCGAAATGAGCGCAGAGAGGCTGAGAGAGATGCTATGGTTGTCATGAGAGCGGCTGAGAGGGAGAGGCTAGCAAGTGCTCGCTGAGTTTGTGAGATTGTTGAAAGAGGACAGCCGAGCTGATTTGGGCATGGCCTCGGGAACGGTAAAGGTGCCGACTCCAAGACGGACAGGTCAGGGGTTGACAGTGACCATGATGGCTTGTCAACCACACAACCACATCCCCGCCCACATGTTCCCCTTGATATAAAGATTGGGTTCATCCCCCCCTCCGTCAACCAGCTTTCACCCGGTTCCTCTTCTCTCTCCGGAGACGCTCTCCGTCTCCTACTGGGAGATTCACGCACTGGGCACCCTCTCGAGCTGCTCCTGCCCTCTGTCCCCTCCATTATATCACCCTCTACGCCAAGGCGACTCACCCACTATTAATTCGTTGGCAGAGAAGCTCTAGTCTGCTCAAGATCATGTCCCCGCGTCCCATCCTCAAACAGCAGCGCGCTGCACTCAAGCAGGCTCTGCCCCCTCTCCCTTCTCCCTCTCCCTTCCCTTTCGCAGCCTGCCGCGTGGTCGACGACCTCAGCACGCCCCATGTCCACTTCCCGCCCACGCCTGGCATCGTCTCAGGCGAAGCCATCACCCACTCGGCGTCCTACTACGACCGCTCTTCAGTCGTTGTGCAACCCAACCAATGTGCCATGCCTGGACGCCACGCACGCACGGTTGAGGACGACCCCTCTGTGCAGCCTGCGAGCCCAAGCCTTAGCCCGTCGCTCATTCCCTTCTCAAAAGAGCGCGCCGAGGAGCGCGCACAGAGCCTGCGGATGGGGAGCTACTTCCACCCGCGTGCGTTTGAGGCGTGCGAGCCGGAACCACCGGAGCCCAAGCCGGAAGAGCGCCCATTCCCGGCGTGCGCTGATCCCCCGACCCGCCCTCCCGCTCTCGTGCCCGACGTCGGATCGTCCTCATCTGAATCAGACGAGAGCGACGGCTCGATATTCACCCCTCCAAATCCCCCCTCCTCTCCTCTCCCCGCTTCAAATAGCAAGGGCCAACGCTCGTCGCTCGACTTCCTGAGTGCCACCCTCGCGCTCAACTGCCACCTGCACGACGGCTCCAACGCCGCACCTTCAAAAGACAACATCATGGCCTCGCCGATACCCCGCATCAGCTCGCAGGACGAGATCGCAGCCGCGATGGCCTTCCTCCCACACCCGCGCCCCGCCAGCCCGCTCGCCATACGCTCTCGCCACCACCTTTCCCCGTCGCACACCTCGTCATCGCGCAGCCGCACGCCATCGCCCACACGCGAACGCCGCGACCGCACCCGCCGCTCAGGACGCACCGCGCGGCGGAAGGAGCCCCCGATGCGGATGCCGGACGCGTTCGGTCTGCCTGCGCTGGACGACGGGTGTCTCGGCGGGTTCTGAGCTGCACCTGGTTTCATCGACATCGTTGACGCTGTCTCGGTTGTACTGTCATCCCATGACTCTGGTTCTGGTCGCATCTGCATATCATACCCCCACTGCTTGTCTCACTGATACCAATCTGTTACCATCCCGCACCTGTTCGCACATTCCTTCACCACTTTAATCGCTACCCGCTTTTATTCTATCCTTATCCCATTCCTGTTCATTCTCCGCATCATTGTGTTGTATATCCTGTACTTTCCTTCCCACCAGGCTGTGGTGTATCACGTCTCGCTGGTTCCCACTGCTGCAGCCATCGCTACTTACCACCATCTTCAGGTGGCAAGTGACATTGCCAGGGTTTATTAATGTAATACTTTTCGCTCGGGTTTGGATTTTGTCACGACATCACGAACGAACTACCTAGTACATATCCTCAGCATCATCTGGTCTCCTCTGTTGTACAACCCCTAGTGTTTTTAGTACCTAATGTTATTCTACTTCGAACTTCTATTGATCCGGAGAGCCTCGCTGCGCAAGTCACCACTATTCTGCTACCATCAGACGCAAGCAAGCACGAGTGACCCTTGGGGACCGCTTGCACAGCACGGTGGGTCAGCCAAGATCAGTCGAGTTACCTCCGCCCTCCAAGACCAGCACCGCGCCTTGGCCTTGCTTCTGTCTCGCCTTCAAGCATCCTTCTCGTACCCCAGACAGATCTCGCACAGCACGGAAGAGGCAAAGATCGAGCGCCCACGTCTCACGAAAAATAAATGGAAGTCACCGTCTTGAATCTTCTGTTGTCTTCTGCTGTTTTTCATCAGAGTGGAGCGACCTGACTGGCCCTGTCAATCGGGACAGCACAACGAGAAAAATGCGGAACTGTCATGCGGCGAGCGGAACTTGGGGGCTGAGCGGGAGATCACGGAATACGTGCGCACCACTCCGAAGCCGTGTGCAAGCGACAACTTCTCCCGGCCAGCTCATGCTCACCCGGGCCTGCAAGTCACCTGCACCCTCAGGCTGCACCCACCTGCTCAGCCAGTTGCCAGCCGGGCATGCTTAACCGGCTCAGGCTTCAAGTGGACAGGCGTGCGTGCCCCACCTGGTTTTTGCTCCACGAGAACGGCAAGTGTGGCCCGGGTACGAGTCCGAGAAGCCGAGGAGAACGCCATCTAATCTGTTGCCAATCTACCCGCATCTGCGTCCGACTCCGACTCCAACCAGTAAGTCGAACAGCGGTGCACAGCCACCATGCACGAGAAGGAGAGGGAGAAGGAGGGGTGGAGCTGGATGTCAGTCCCGGAAAATTGGCTGCCAGTCCAAAGCAGTTAATTGATCAACGTTGAACCGCAAGCTGGCGAACAACGCCCGTTGTTGGAGCGCTTTATTTTCGAGTTCGTGTGTTCAGCTTGGCGGCTCCGTGTTACCGATTTGCTGGCGGCACGCGAGCCCCCGCAGCAACTAGAGTGAGCCTGCACTTCGTTCAACCAAGCTCCCGCCGGCGTTCGTCTGAATCCTCTTGTGGATCGCTGGCTGCACCCGTGCGCATGAGGAATTGAGCGTGTTTGAAAAGCGCGCCGAGCCTCCACCTTACATTGGCATGCTATTGGACAGGTCGACGGAAAGAAGTACTACTGGATCCTTGAAAGGACATCGTGCTCGTGCTTCCTCCTGGTCCAAACAGATAGTATCCCCAAAGCCACTGAAGTCGCACCCATTTGTATCCCCTTCGAAGGGATGCAACAACACATGTTAATCTCATTAGCGATCGCCGGAGGGTAGGTGACCCGGGTGGAGGGACTACAACTTTCAGCATGCTCGGGCCCCAGTGTACACGCCTTGAGAAGTGGAAGCGGCGTCGGTGTTCTCTTGTTCATCACTCCCAGACTCTGAACTTGATTCGCCGTCATCTTCAGTGCTGCGTCTTTCCGAGGCAGTGGCAAGACGTTAGATGGCGGGCTTTAAGCACTTTTATAATGATTTTTGATTCTTAAATCCGAGTATATGAGTGCGCACCTACTTTCTCGAGCAATGCATATTGCAAGAATGCGACTCTTTGTGGTTTTGACGGGGCGGTCTCGCCCAGAAAGGCCGAGCAACTTCTTAAAGCCTTGAACTTATCGCAGAGGTCCCTTCGGTGCGATACCAGTTTGGAATATCTTGCAAACGCAGAAGGCGGACAGAGGAAGTGGGCGCCTCACAACTCCTTACCTCATCACATATAGCGCGTGAAGAGGAAAACTTTCACAAGAACGACACAAAGGCTGAATGAATAGCATTTCGTCTAGATAGGAGAGAGCTGGATTTACACACGTAACGTGCATACAACATCTCGGGGAAAACATGGAGAAATCGAACTTAGCCTTTTCATCTGTTTTTTTGCTTGTATTTCGGCCTTCGTTCACCAATCCTTGATTACGAGCTTCACATAGATGACTGGGTTATACTGTAGTTGCTGATGGCGCAAGCCGGTGTTAATATTCTTGTTGTTGTTGGCATATGCGAACCCATTGCCATTGCTGATGATGCCGACGCACAGGCAGGGGAATGTCGAGCTCAATACCGGCGTTCGTAGTCCCGCCCACCGCGGTCATAGTCGCGTCCGCCACCGGCGCCGCCGCCGCCACCGCCGTAGCCTCGGTCATAGTCACGCCCTTCACGTCCGCCATAGCCACGGTCATAGTCCCGGTCCCGTCCGCGGTATTCGTCATACCGTCCGCCACGGCTCTCGCGGTGGTCATCGTGTCGTCCACCGCGACCACCGCGCCTGTCGTCGTCACGCGAGTAGCGGCTATCGTACGGGCGAGGATCGTATAACCGTTCGCCTGAGGGAAGATATGAAGTTTAGACAAGGTCACCGAGTGCAACCTGATTCCACTCACTGTCGCCTCTCTTCGGCGGGCCGTAGTACCTACCAGGGGTGGGAGTGCGCGCTCTAGCACGACGAGCCTGTGTATAACGTCAACAAGGGTGACGATAGGTGGAGAGCAGGAGCGGCGCGGCTCACCTTTTCGACATTCATGTTCTTACCCATAAGGTCGGTCGCGTTGAGCGCGGTAATCGCTGCGTCAGCTTCCTCGGCGGTCTCCATCGTCACGAACCCGAAGCCGCGAGACTCGCGCGAGTGCGGGTCGTACATTACTGAAGCCTTCTTAACCTGGAGGACCACTGTCAACTGGACCTGTGAGCGCAGGATCAACACAAAAACGCACCCTGCCAATTTTCGCGAACGCCGCCTCGAGGTCGCGCGTGTCAACACGGTTGCTCAGACCCGAGACGTGCAAGTTGTTGCCAGGGTTCGTTCCGCCGTCTCCATTACGTCTATCTCTGTCGCTCGGTTCAATTTCAAGACCATGGGCTGGGTGCTTAGGGTACTCACCCGCGATCATCGCCACGGCCAGGGCTCCGGCTCCGGCTCGAGCGGCGCGGGGGTTCCGCGCGGTCGCGTCCGGGAGAGCGGGCACCGTTACCGTTGTTCCAGCTCTCGTCACCTGTACCGTTGGCCATGGGCGCGTCGTTAGGGATGCTAATGCCCGAGGGGGCCATGTCTTGCGTTTGCCAGGCTGGGGGGCGGAAATGTCAGGGCGGGGCGAGGATGAGGGCTGACGACAAGGAGAAGGAAACTGAGGGCGAGAGGAGAAGGCGGTGAACAGGATAGACGGAGAATGATACATGGGGGTAGACTATGGCGAAGGATACTGGGAGGTGGGAATGGAGTGGCGCGAAGTGGTGAAAAAGGCGGGTGCCGAATTGTATACAGTAGTGAGGTCGACTACGGTGGTAGGAAGAATAGACTGAGGCGGTATTGTGCTGGCCTTGAGCCGACATTACGCGCTACTGTGGCCGGTCGGTGCTGTATGCCGGCGCTGGGCGCTGAGTGGTACCGAACACAGGAAGAGAGACGTGGAGAGACGTGGTTTGTTGAAAGAGACGTATTGATGTCGAACGACAGGTGCTGGTCGGCGACTAAGGTGGATGCTGAAGACGTACCGTCGTCCATTGCTGAGGTTGATAAGGTCGTAGGGGCTGGTGAACTGCTGGGTACTGGCTGTCGTCGAGGCTGGTGGTGAGAAGGAGGCAAAGGAGAGCGGGAGGCGCGGCAGAAAACTAAATGCGGCCGGCATTGCTGGGCAAACAGACACAAACAATCACCGGAAACGCGCGCGTCGGCCCCCATAATGGCTCATCTGTTGACACAGAACACCGTACTGTGCTCACTCCAAGTCAATGTCTGCACTCGTCACGGACTCGCTGCCGATGTATCTCTTCGTCGCTCAGGTTGTTTGAAGAGATTCCTATCCGTCTAGGCAGCAAAGATTAGTCACGGGCAACGTAAGCACCCGATTATACCGTTATACCAATCGATTCCACCCTCGTTTAACGTGTTGGTCTTCTGCATCTCCCCTTACCTTTCTTCATCGTATAACGCACATTTTACTAGATGACGGTTCGCTAGAGCGTTCCTACACGGCTCTCAAAAAAACCTTACCCTTAAACGGATCCTGTTAAAGTTACCATGATGTGGAATGACATCAACTAACGGCCTTACGATTCGGACTTGCGAATTTGTGAATCTTATCAGTTGTACGTTGCAACCATAAGCTCCTTATTTGCGGAAGGTCTGAAACTGGCATGTAAGGCAGGATGTCGTCCATTTTCGGCACTTCATTTCATGTAATTCTGACCTTACTACGACCACCCGGCTCGTCGGGTGCATGTCTGGCGTGAGGACCACGCTCTGATCTTGGCGAGAAACCAGATGCAGACTGCCCTCTGTCTGCTCGTACCAACGAGTTCGTACACATGCTACGGGGCCTATTCATTGGTTACTTCTCGAGTTATCAAGGCTTGACGCGCTCATATGACGTCGAAGGACTGGCCTATGTCGAGGCTCAGGAAGCGCTGCGATCATGATGCTTCAAACCAACCAATAGTGGTCATCGGAGACGGGGAGGTTCGTGCCCTACATAACCTTCCCGAGGATTGTTAAGCTTTTAAGCTTCCTTGAAGCGAAAGGCAGAGATCATCACTTTAGTGGCGATAGTGACGTCATCGACCCGTGCACGCGTGGACGCTAGTGTTCTGCCGACGTACCATACCTGGCATGCTTCGAGGGCAGTATAGTGTTCAAAGGGACCGTTCTTGATTCACTCCGCACCCTCTTTGTTACCGTCATGTTCCGCCTGTCACCCTCCTTCGTCATTGTCACCACGCCTACGCATTCCATATCTCACCCAGTGCATGCTAGCTGGAGTGAACGAAACAGGATGATGGACTAGCGATTATCTATTCATCTATAGTGCGTATCAACGGACTATTGAAGGTGCGGACCCATCGCCCTTGCCAATCGTGGAGATCGATGGACACACGCTCTCCTTTAAAGCAACCCCTGCTCAGGATTGAGTCTGACGTACGTAGGGTGCACCTTCGGTACTCAGTCTCTCCTTCCGGTCATCGCAACCCCAGTGTCCGCTCTGCTATTTCATTTCTAGATAGCTGATATTTCATGACATGTCTGCTGTCGTGAGCGACTCTCCCTAACGTCGGTTAGACGATAGCAACGGAGACGCGTAAAGGTAGCCATTTTTACCCTAAACTTCAAAAGCGCCTCTCGTGCCTCTCCCACACATAGGACGAGTCTAGAATGGATGTAGGTGGTAGTGGAGGCTACTCTCTGATGATGAGTAACGCCTGTCTTGATCGTCGACGAAGTTGTGATAGGACTTAATGCTCCATATCCAGGCTCGAGCAAAGACAAGCCCGAGTCTGTCGCTGTTCAACCGCTTTTACTGATATGCTCATCAACACGCACCGATGAGGTCATGATCGGTACTCATCACCTTCGACTTGTTAGGCTCGTCGTCTCAACGTAAGTTGACCACTGATGTTATCATCGAACAATTTGACTCAACCGCAAAGGACAGGCTATTGCTAGGCGGCTATTTCTTGTACTTGAAGGCACCACAACTGCCGTATGTAAACAAACGACTGTTCACCTGACAGAATAACAACTATATTCCCAGAAAAACGGAGGCGAATGCGTTCTGGCGTCGATCGCTCGTAAGTCCGGCTATGCCCGTCTCAAGTTCAGGACTCAGCTGTATAGGCCGTCGTCATCGAACTCCTCCGGCCAGCTAAAGACCGGTACCAGTCGTGGCCTAGACAACAATACCTCGGCCAACCGATCGTAGAGAAGTGAGAAGTGACTTACGTTGAGGTGAGCTCGGGCTGATAGTCACTCCCTACGTCCTTGAGAGCGACATCTTCACTTTCTCCCATATGTTCTTTGATTTGTTGCTGCAGCATGTTAGGAACATATGAGGGAGAGCCAAGGAAGCTACTGACTGCTATGTTGATGTCCGATTCCGATGAGTCTCTCACCATCGGATGATCTACTTCTACAGCCTCGTGTGCCACCTTGTTCGTCAATGTCTTCTCAAAGTCAGCCCGTATCGCGGCCATATACTTGCACTTGAAAGCATCAGTCCGACGTCGAACGAGGTGGGAAGTAATAACAGACCTGACGTTTTCTGACACACAGCTTCCGGTGTAAACCCCAGGTATCCTGTGCATACTTTTTGCGAAGGTCTAGATTGATGCGTGTCTCGCAGCTTGTGCAATAGTAGCTGTTTGTCGTGACGTCGGTGGTGTACGCGTCTTCCGACAGAAGATTAATCCTGTCCTCAAGGTTGATTGGTTCCTATTTCCGTTTCTTTGTTCCTTTAAGCAGTTGTCAGCTGAATCCGAGATCACCAGGACGTGAACACACCTCACCTCGAGGAGGGCGAGAAGGGACTGGAACGGCCTCCGGAGCTTGTACGGGCACGACATCAACGAGTCTTGCATCGAGTGGGGAGTACATAGGTATAAGGTTACCATGACTTGCGGCAGCCTGAGTGGCGGACCAGGGCGGCAGCTGGTGAGGCCATACTACTGTCGGACTAAGGTACCACCAACAACCGTGCACAAGTAGATATGGATAGTAGAGCTGCGTATCAGCTCCTGCATGTGCTGTGCAAGCCTGGGCTTGCGAGTGCATTTCCGAGACACTTTTCCGGGAGGCAAGGGCGATGTGGTTGAAAGGAAGAGAGGTGAAGGGAAGTGGCCTTTCCGCAGCTTACATAAGGGCTATCAATTGTTTGCCTTGACACCGCTTGGGCCAGGGTCAACCAGGCCCTTGACCTCCTCCTTTTGTTTTGCAGAAAGTTACCCTTACATGGACGCAATTCCAGTCTCCGAAGCGCTCTTTTTCCTCTCCCGTACCATGCAGAACAATTACTTTACTCTCGTCATGGCTTGCTATCAGTGAGAATTCAGCCTTGATACTCATGCTGTAGTGGAAACCGAGTCTGACCTTTGTTATGCGTCTGGACAATGATTGAGTATATTGGCTCAACCGTCGTTCGGCGAATTCCGAAACGTGAATCGGAGTGAACTTCCGTCATATTTGACTTCAACGACGGGCTCGAAGGCACCTGCTACTACCTACGGAGACTCCCAAATTTGAGCAAAGCTCATCTTGCGAGTGTATATTGGAGGAAAAGATGAATACTCACCCATGTGACCGCGAAGCATAAGTACTCTGGATGCCGGGTCTAGCCAATAACCAATCTGTCAAGAGCATTTGACTTTCATTTCTGCTTGTTAAGTGGTTTCATTGTGCACTTTTCATGGGTATGCTCGTAATAACGCGTTCCGATGCTTTTGGCACATTAAGGGATTGCTGTGTCAGCAGAGGCTACACTTGAAGAAGTCCCAAGCTAGAGAATTCTTGCGCTCTCAGAAGCCACTAGGAGAATCGTGAAACCATCACTGATGTGCGAGCATGTTGCTTCTAAACTCTGTCGGAGAGCCTTGACACCCGACGATAGCTTGAAGATAGTTTGACGCCGGACGAATTTCCAGGGATCAACGGTGTACTGATTAGGTTCCGAGTCCTCTCAAGCTGACGATCACATTGTGGAAGTGTAGCGATCAGCAATCAACGATCCCGATGATGCCCAATTTCGTAAGAAGTGAATGAGGGATTGATACGAACGATTAGAGGCCGAGTATATTGAGTACCCGATATACTTCGTGTACAGTAGCAACACGCTTGGAAAGAACAAGGCCTACCGAATGTAGGATAAGAGCATGTATGCGAGAACAAGGATCGTGCGAAGTCGCTATGCAACATATCCAACACGTAAGTATTTCCCATCGGTCTTGTGGCTCAGTAGACCTTGATCGACGCCTTTCCACTTGTGTCGAACGCGTTTCATGATAATTATGCGACGCTACTCAAGTGATTGTTATACCGGGGTATTTGCTTGTTAGAAAGTGGATAAGATACGATTATAAATTCTACTGTCATTCCCCGCACTGTGCCCCTTCGGCTCTTAGGCTATACGTTTCCATTCCACAACACTACAAGAGAGATGACTTGTTGATGTCTTGAATTTAATAAGCAGTAGGTTCTATAGCGTCACGTTTATCGACACTCACCGTCATACAGCCATTGAACGCAGTCTTCACAAAGCTTGACATCTCGGTCTGGCTCGTACATGTTGTTGTGGAGATCGCAGTCAACCGTATCTCCTACAGCGCGGGGGAGAGGACCTCTACGCTTTGGGACATAACCGTGAACGCGCTTCCGATGTTTGGTTAGTGCAGAAGGGTCCGCAGTCTGGTGTTCGCAACTTGGGCACCTAAGAGGCTTTTGTTGCAGACTAGATGCGAAAATAACGTTAGAAGAAATCTGACCATATGACCCGACTCTCACTTACTGGATTGCTGTGTAGTGCGTTTCTGCAGCGCGTCGCTGATGAGAAGTGAACGTGCAGCCACTCTGGGGACAAGAGAAACGCTTTGAGGACATCGCTGTCCACCTCAAAACGTCAACCTCTTACGTTTTATACGACTTGAAGATCGCTAAGGATAATGGAACTAAGTCATTTTGCGCCGCATATGTCAGACTTGTGCTTCTTGCTCAAGCTCAATGTTTCAACGGTCCATTTAGCCCTGACTCGAACCTGAATTTCACGACCGGTAACAGTCCAAGGCCCATCGTAGATGGTTTTTGAATGTAGTACCCTTGTACTGCTGCGTGAGAGATCCTCCCTTCAGAGAGGCTTCCTTCGTGATCGCTTTCATTTACACACGTCGCCGCCGGTCGCCACGTGTAATGTCCCTGCCCTCATATCTAGCACTTACGTACAGGTGCCGAACATTCGAAGTCGAAAACAAATAACCGGCTAATCAAATGACTCCAGAGTGGCAGACTGAACCGAATGGTCTCCGAGCAGTCCAAAGTGAAGTAGACGCCCATTTTTGCCAAGTGGTGCAGCTACCTCACACGCCTTCATGGTCAGCTCATATCCGAGAGTAACGGAGGATCAGTGGGACATATTATCATTGGGAAAGGGAATCCTTATCAGTGTAGTTAGCTAGCGTATCAGGGGTACAACTCAGCGCAACAGGATCACCTCCTCCCCCCATTTCCCCGATTCCATCCAAGACTTTTCATGAACAATGCCGGACCCCAGCCGCTCTTTAACCTCTATCCCGGGCTGCGCTCGCAAAGCCAGAACATACAACCAGAAGATCGGCCCAGAGGCGTTCTCGCCAGCCAGCAGTGACTCGCCCGGACCCCATGAGTGAGCACGGCAAACGACTACAAATTGGAGTGTTGCCGGGGACGGGTGATCCTTGGGAAGAATAACGCGGCTCCCCGTGCCGTCTGCTTCCCCGGTTACGATCACGAAAACGGCTTGTTCCGTACCTTCGACGCGATGCTCCGAGGTAATTTCGTTGGCTACTAACCTGCGAACTTGGAGCTGAGCTGACATCGTGCGGAATACGAGGGTACCAGGTTTGAGTGGTTGCCCGACCGGAGGAACCCACGCGTCGTCCCAAGATATGTGGCGAGCCAGCCGCCCACTCTCAGCGACAATCTGACGTGGTTCCAGAACAGGACTGGTGTGCTTAACCTCGAGACGGATTAACGCGCCGTCGTCATCTACCAAGCTCCACCGTTCTACCAGCGATTCGTCTGCTGCGGGAACATCGTTGTTCTCGTAGATAAAGAGAAAGTGGTTGTTGGGGCCGTAGCGTACCGGACCGCGCCACCCAGACCACGCCCATGACGGCCATGGCGACGACATTGTATCCCCATCGCTACCTGATCTCCGCTCGAGTGCACGGTCCGGATGAGGGTGCCACAACAGCACAAGCTCAAGCTCTTGCACGGGCATCCCATATCGGATCGCTTTCCCATCCCCGCTGCCCGCGAGCCTCGCGGCGCGACCAAAGGCGGTGGCGAGAGCCGATATGGCGATGACGATGTCTCCCTCGTTTGTCAGGCTCCGAGTTGTGTACACTTTCACGATATGCATCCACATGTCCATCGAGTCCCACATCTTCCCGGGGGACCAGGGCGAGCGCCGGGGAATGAACGCATATTTTCCCCGCGCTCGTGTAAGCTGGTGTGTCTTTGGCCCATAGACGCTGGGTCCTTCCGTCTCGGCTGAGAAGCCCTCAGCAAAGAGGTCTGTACCGCACTCGAAGTACACCTGGTGGGCGGTGAACACGAGACGCCGCCGTGATAGGACGATTTCTTGGAGTGTCCAGCCGCGCGTGTCCCAGGAGGAGCGCACGAGCGCCTCATCAAGGCCTGGAAGTGCAGCTGAGAGGTGAAGTCCCTGGACATATGCTGTCGGCTGCGTCTCTTGCCCAACCACTCGCGTGCCAGCCCGGAGGCCCATGAGAGGGGCATGGGCATCGTCTCCGCCAACTGCGAAGACAGTCAGCAGTGAGCATGCATATATGCGCTCCATCACGCCAATCTGAAGGGCTTTGTCGGAAGAATCATCTTGGCTGATACAGAGCGCGTCGATCCATACATAACGAACACCGATTTTGCGAGCGAGGAGGACGACATCGGAGATGGTACCAGGCAAGATGGAGATGGGGAGGCCGCCCGGCGCCGAGCGCGCCGAGATATTGGTGGAGCAAGTCCAGTACGACGCGCCGTCAATGCCCCAGCGATAACTGAGGGCGAGGTAACGGCAGTTTGGAGGTGTAGAAACCACAGCCATATCCTCCACATCGACCATCCGGACATAGCTCGGAAGCCCATCGTTGCCCCTCCACCAGTCCCGTCCACACACATCCCCATGAGTGTGCTCGCATATGTGCAACCACCGCTTGACGAGCTCTACATCGACCGTCTCCCCCACCATGCGTCCATGGTAGAGCTTCCGGTGCCCAAGCGCCAGCGCGGTGTCCTCCATGATCTGGATTGCGGGTGTGAGAGCAGAACTTGCAACTGCCTGAGCAGCCAAGACCTCGGGTGGCCTGTATGAGAACGTCAACGGGAAGGAGTTGGCGGGGTTGAATCCGTCAAGAGAACCTGTATCAGAGGACCCGACGAGCACTTTGACTTCTGAGAGGTCGACATTGAACTTGTTTGTGTCGAGGAGCCACGTCCGCCGGACAAGCGACGCTACAATATTGCAGAGTCCGCAGGTGCTCGCTTTGTCGAGGATATTCGGGAGGGTACCGAGGGTTACGGGATCGCTCCCAATGCGTTCGTAAGGGAGCATGCTGCGGAGATCTAGTTTTGAACATGTGTCACAAAGAGGAGAGTCTTCGTGTGGGTGTGCATTGGCGCTGAGGCCTATGTAGCCACCCAGGCGCTGGAGAAGATTTGTTCCTTTATGAAACGGGGATGGCATCGTCAACAGAAACTCTGCACAGAGGCCTGGAATGCAAGTGCGGACTGTTGAGCGGGGGTCCTCTACGATGTGGCGAGAAAAAAGGGAATATAACATACACAACCGAGGAGTCTAGTACAACGGACGATGTCCAGGTATGTGGTTATTGCCTGAGAGAGCCTTAGACGTGGTTGCTAGAAAAGAGGCGAAAGAACACGGGCGACACGTTGAAGGCGTCGTCGCCACCGTTTCAGGTTTGATTCCCACCGGAGGGTGTCTACTGGCAGCCCAGACGCGCACATTCCACGACATCGTGGGTAGACGCCAGTAAGAAAATGTTAGAGGGAAGGTTCGTAGGTGGGATTGCGTCGTGGACTAGGATTGTTGTGAGTCGTCAAAGGAACGATAACGAAGGGGTTTGCTCTAAGTTTATGGAAGCGTTGGAGACCGCGCCAGAGACGCACCCCGATTGCTTCCGAAACAATAGCCCCTGAGTACCCTACTCACCATCGAATTGAGATGTGACTTATTTCAACCAAGAGACTGGTGGCCCACAAAGGTCCTTCCATCACGGAAGTCTATAAAGCAATACTAGCGATACATCAACACCACAAATCCACAAGTGAGTATAATCATATCAGCCGCCCGCTCGCCCAACCCTTAAACGTCTCCGTGCCCTTAATCCACGCAATAAGCTCGTCCCTCCGCATTTTCGTGCCCTGATCCGCGCTCTGGATCTTGGCCTTCTTGCCATCCACGAGCTCCCACCGCTGCTCCTTGATGGTCACGAGGCCCTGCGCGAGCTCCTCCCCGCCGAGAATGATCGCAAACGGCGCCTCGTCTTTCTCGCCCGCCGCGAACTGAGCCGGAAGCTTAGGTTTGCGCTTCGCGAGGAAGTCGGTCTGTGAACATTGGCATATGTGCGTGAGTCCACGCTCTCAGAAAAGAAAGATCGACAGGGGAAGGAGGGGGAAACGGAAACGGATAGCAAAACAAAACAAATGCTCACCTTAATCCCCGCATCTCTCAACTCCTGCACAAGCCTCACCCGCTCCTCAAGCAACCCATCACCCGCCGCCATCACATACACCATCGTCTCCTTACTACGCATACCACGCTCCTGCCACCGCGGCCACAGAATCGCAAAAATACGATCCATCCCGATGCTCACGCCGATGCACGGCAGACCCGCGGGCGCCTTCTTCCCATCGCCAGCCGCAGCAGCAGCGAACGCGCCGACGAGGTTGTCGTACCGCCCTCCCGCGGCGATCGAACCTACGCCGACGGTCGATTCATCCGTCTCCTCTTCCTCGCCGTCGACGCCGTCGGCTTTTGGCTTCTTGGCCTTCTTTTTGGGCGCGGGGGTGACAGAGGATTCGTCGGTGACGGGAGCGGAGGAGGAGGCAAGGGCGTTGGTGCCAAAGCCTGGTGGTGCCGAAGCGGCGACGACGGCCTCGTAGATGAGGCCGGTGTAGTAGTCCAGTCCGCGGGCGAGGGACATGTCAAAGGATATCTATGCCCAATGTTTGTCAGCAAAATAGAGACTAAGAGAGACCATCGGGCACGCACCTTGTCAACGATATCGTATGCGGCCAGAAGAGTGAAAAGAATCGTCATCTCTTCAATGCCCGATTTTGCACTCGCGTTAGCCATGAGCTTTTCGTCGGCCTTGAGCTGATCCAATAGTGACGGGCCGCCCTTGTGCTTGACGTATTCGCCAATCTTGTCAGCGACTGCGGGGTCAAGACCCTTCTCTTCCGTCATCTCTTTCTTGACGTCTGCCCATGGAGACTACATCGACACGGGTCAGTACCACGGAAGTCATGAGGAAGGAAGATAGGATAAGGCCAACCTTGTCAAGCTTGTCTACGGCCGAAGATATCGTCCGTATTTTCTCGGCAGGCACACCGCACACTTCGAAAATGCCATCAAGGATCTTGCGGTGGTTGATCTACACGCGAAGTCCAGGCGTATACAATCAGCCCGAGCACCAGACACGAGGGTTAATAAAAAACGCACCTTTATAGTGAACTCGCCGACATCGAGCCGTCTCAGTATGGTGCAAAGTAATCCAACAATCTCTGCATCGGGAATCATAGGGTCCCAGGCACCCGCAATATCAAAGTCCTGCATGCATATACCCACCGCAAAGTCAGTTTCGCGCATACACGACCACAAACGTCAAAACATACCGCCTGCAAGAACTCTCTCATTCTCCCCTTGCTCATCACCGGGTTATCCCTTCTATACACCTTCCCCACCTGCCATATCTTCCCCTGCACCGCCGCGCCGCCCATGGCCAGGTATCGCGCAAGCGGGACGGTGTGGTCGTAGCGGAGCGCGAGCTGCTCGCCGCCCTGGTCCATGAGGTCGTAGATGAGCTTCGAGTCCTCGCCGTACTTGCCCGTAAGCACATCCTTGCGCTCGAACACGGGCGTGTCGAGCGCGGAGCCGCCGTACGAGGTGAAGACGTCCTTGACAATGCGTTCGATGTGCTCGCGACAGAACATCTCGCCGGGACCATAGTCGCGTGTGCCCTGTGAAGATGTCACCGTAAGCACCTGATATTCCGAGCCACTCGAGGCATAGCACACATCTTGTGCTAGCTGAAGTAGGCGATAGCAAAGAGAGGATACACACCTTGGCAGTCTTCAACAACAACCGCTCCTTCTTCTTCGCGTCCTTGTCCTTGTCCTTCCCACCCCCAAGCGCCGCCTGCGCCTTCTTCAGCTCCCCGAGCCTCTTCTTCGTCTCCTCGATCGCAGGCGCGTCCGCGCCCTGCGCCTTGAGACTCGCGAGCTGGGTCGTGAGCTGTGCAATGTCCTCCGCGAGCGTCTGCGGGTTTACGCTGGACGCCATTCTAGTCGCTGACTGGCTGAACGAGCGCGCGTGATATGTGGTATTTGAGGGGTGTGTGTTGGCGGGTAGAAGGGTTGCCGGGAGGGACGATCGATAGCGTCGGACGAGGGGACGGACGAAGATGAGCATACCTTTCCTAAGATAAAAAGTAGATCCAAGAACGTGACTTGATGCAAAAGAAGGACCCAGAACACCCCTATCCTAGCTGCCGCGTCTTCCAGCCATCCGCACTGGTCGGGACGCGACAATCCGCTATGTTCTCAGTAAAGCAAAGTGTGATTATGTAGCTATGTCTTAACCTCTATCTACGTGTATCGAGCAAAAACAAAAAGCGTATACACAGTCATGGTCTATGACCATCGTTCGTTCTACTCGTGATATCATCAGTATCAAGTCTTGAGTAAAGTGCTCCCAGCAGAACACCGCGCCTCGATCCAGCAAGCGATCACCATCCCTCTCCCTTTCCCTCCAACCCTTCTAGAACTCACTCAAGTTATATCCATGTGGTGGTCACACCACCGCATCTAGTCATTGCGTCTTCTCCACCTTCCTCGCGTCTGCCCAGTGACCCTCTGCATCCTTCTTGCGCACCGTGAAGCACGCGATGCCGAGATACTCCGTGATATCGTTGATCACCAGCGTGCAGAACCGCACGTACGAGACAAACGATACAGCGAACGTCAGCCAGACAAAGATCGCGGTGCGCTGCGCATCGGCCTGGATCACCGGAGGCCTGTTCCATCCATTCCGTTAGCTCAAGAAAGCCAGACCTACGAGCAAAGAGATGCTCACCTGCCCAGCAACGTCGGCAAATGCGCATCCACAACACCTACCGCGCTCCACACCCACATAACGTCCCAAACCGGGAACGCCCCTTTCGTCACATGCCCAAGGATGATCTTTCCCACCTGGTGCGCGAACTGCAAGCCCCACGCGCACACAAACGGCAGGAACACCGGTGAGTATATAATGGCACTCTCAGCAGGAGTCGGGCTCGCGAGCCACGCGGCCTGGAGCGCAGCGGAAATCGCGAACGGGCCAAGATACGCGAGCGCGCGCGAGTTGGACTTGCCGGAGGTGAGGTTGGCTTTGCGCACGTTAGCGTACGAGCCGAGGATGTTGAAGCCGAGACTGAGCGCGCCGAAAACCATGAAGGCTTCGTTGAGTCCGATGTTGGGGATGTTGGACGCGATCAATGGGATCTTGTCGAGGCGGGTGAAAGTCAGGATACCAGTGTCCCAGAATGAGGGACCTGCGAGTAGCGCGCATTCAGCGCTGGGTTCAGGCGCGACGAAGATTGGGCTTACCGAACAAGCCGGTGATAATGTAGACCACGACAATCATCAAGATCCCTTCAACGGGTCCGGAGAACGGGCCAAGGTACAAGAGACCTGAAAGATGGAGGCGACGTCAGTATCACAGTCAGCAGGATCAAGCATCAGAATACTCACCAGTATGGTACTCTTCCCAAGTGGTAAGGTAAAAGTTCGCGAGCGTCGCAACCTGCGACGCGACTGTCCACCACGAGCGGCCGAGGTTCAGCGCGCGGCATGCAAGGACACATTCAAGCTATGGATCGGACAGAGGCCGTGCTCAGAGGGCGAGGTGGAACGAAAAGATAGAAGCACATACAGTCGTGTTGATGGCATCGCATCCTGCGCATATGCTCGCCATTCAGCCCAGTGTTCAAGTATATGAAATCGATAAACGCACCATGATCAAACATCTCTCCCAACGGCCCAGCCATACCCGTCCGCCGTGCCTGCTTCCTACCCTCCCTTCATCAGCCCATCTCATTCGCCCAAAGTCACGCCCACGTACCCGTCGACCGCATCGAAGCTCTGATACATGAACAGACCAACCGCCCATCTGCACGATCGGTAAGCTTGGGTCACGTACAAAGAGGAAGAGGTAAGGTCAGGGTGGAGGGAATCGACGCACGTATAGTACATCCACTGCGGCGGCCCCGCATCCGGCGCGTCCTTATCGGTCAGATAGAGAGGGTCGTAGTACACCATCGTCGCGAGGTTGAAGAGCACGATGCACAGGCCCAGGAACGTGATCTAGAGAGGCACCGACATGAACACGCGTTAGCAAGTGCGATACTATTGATGATGGAGTGAAGAAGGACACACGGTGTTGGGAGCAACGGTTGTTGGCCAGAGCTGGATGAACCAGTTCCAGTAGGGTGTAAGGACGTAGCGCGAGACGAGTGACCTTTACGTCCACAAGACTCGAGCTTGAGAACAATGTGATAAATGCAGACTAGAAGATGGCACGCACTCATCCAACCCCTTATACGAGTACTTTTTGAGGTTCTTGAGCGCAGGCTGCGAGAGGTATCCCATCGTTTCGTCGTTGGTTCGCCGTCAAGTTTCAATGGATATCAGAAACCCTTGAAGGCGCAAAGAAGGGGTATCGTGACTATAGAAAACCCCTCTAAGTCGGAGGATGGGCAGCTTGAAGAAGAAGAAAACAAGAAAAGACAAGGGTAAGAAAAACGTGATTCAGAAGCGCCGTAAATTCGGCGCAGAAAGTTCAATGACGGCGGCAGGCGGAAGAGGTCATCAGGTACCGAGCAGGCGTGAGAACGCTTGGCGCGTGCCTACGCACGTTTGTCGGCCCGAAACCATCATAGCATCGCTTCAGCGCGTCCATCCTGCCATTTTCTTCTCTTCATCTTTTTTTGTTGTACAATCGTTAATCAACCTCGTCACACCAACCTATCTAGGTTCTCCAGAGCTGAACTATCGCCATATGTGATCACTGCAACATCACTACTCTGCTAACTGCATCTGCCCCCAGCCACGCCTTCTCGTGCATGACCCCCACACCAACTCTCTCCATGACCTCCGAATCACCCACACGACACACAGCCATGACGTAGAAGATACACCCAAAGTATGACCTACCATAGAAACTCGAGTCGTATATGCCCTCTATTCCACCAGGACTCGTGCGCGAAAGAGCCACAAATTCCAAGTTCGAGGGGGAAGGGTATGATTCTGGAAGGATGATGCGCCCTACGTTCCGAGTGGTTGAACTGGTGTTCGATAGGATGGTAAACAGCCGGTAATGTTCGGTAGCATGGAGATTGTCACCGTCGCAGGGTGCATCTTCGAGTTTCCTAACGATAAAACGAGCCACTGCGCTACGAAACACGAGCGTCCCGGGTTCTAAGCCTGGAGGGATACTAAAATTGCTATCCCAAGCTGGAGGTTCAAAGACCTCGATATTCTCTTCATCTTCCGAGTACATCATGCGCACAACCACTTTGATGGGGCGAACATCGAGCGGCACTAGAGCTTTCTCCTGCGAAACGATAAACCATCGGTCCATCAAGGACTCGGTGACACGCGGTCTGTCGGAATGGCTGTGAATATTCATGAACTGCCCTTTACTATTATATACCACAGGCCCTCGCCAGCCCGCCCAGGCCCAGGATGGCCACAGTGACCGCCCCTCTTCTGTGAGTCGTCGTTCATGAGTGTTGTACGGCACAGGCCGCCATAACAGTGCTTGGTCCAGCGATACAACTGCCATCCCATACGGAAACGTCCTCGCCGGGTTACCAAGCTTGAAACCCCTTGCAATCGCGTTCGTCAGCGCTGAAATCGCGTCTACGGTGTCTGATTCTACGCTCAGCCTGCGGTGTGTGTATTTGTTGACAGCCGACTCGTAGTTCGTTATCCATTGGTCGTGCGTGGAGCTCGGAGGCGCGCGGAGATACATGAACCCCTGTCCACCAGTGTATCGAAGTGGCTGGTAGCCGGTTGGAACGGACGGTCCCTCTGCGATGATGTCCTCTGCCCAAACGTCCAGCCCGCACTCGAAGTACACCTGTTCCTGCGTGAAAAACAGGCGGCGGCGCGAGAGCATGAGCTCTTGGTACGTCCACCCACGAGTGTTCCAAGCTGTCTTGGTAAACGCCTCGAGTAGCGTGGGGAGCGGGACTGCCAGATGAAGGCCTTGCACATGCTCGGCGCGCTGATGGACCATGCGCGTACCGCGGCGAAGGCCGGGCAGCGGAGCATTGGCATTGGTCCCACCAGCGGCGAAGATGGTGAGAGCGGCGGACCCGTAGATCAGCTCCATCACACTTATCTGGACCGCTTTGTCTGCAGGACCATCCTGTACGATGCAAAGTGCATCCACCCACAGATAGCGCTCCCCGAGTTCACGAGTCAGGAGGATGGCGTCGGATATTGTCGCGGGAAGTATGGATAAGGGGAGTCCGCCCGGTTGCATCCTTGCAGGCAGATTCTCTGCGGTCGTCCAATACGACTCGCCGATGCCACCCCAAAGGTAGCTGAGCGCGAGGTACCGAGCCCCTGTTGGTGCAGTGACGATCTTCTCATCCAGAACATCCACCATGCGCACGGCATCTGGTAGCGTTTCCTCGGTCCCTCTCCACCATACGGACTCGCATGCATCTCCATGCTCTTTGCAGCATATGTCCATCCAATTTCTTACCAGATCCAGGTCTACCGTCTCAGATACCCTTCGCCCATGAAGCTCTCTCGTCCGTCCCATCTTCTTAGCGTCTTCTTCCATCAGCTGTATATCGAGCATGAGTCCTACCCCCGCGACTGTGATTGCGGCATACACCTCTGGAGGACGGTCGGGGGTTTGTATATAGAGACGGTGGGCCAGTTGTTGTGTGGGTGGTACAGGATCGTTAATACAACCACATGCCATCGCGTGAAGCGACAGCTGGATCGTGGAGGGATCAAAGTTGTACTCCTTTGCGTCCAGCAGCCAGCCTCTCCGAATGATAGCAGCCACGAGCGAGCAGAAAACACAGCTACCAGACTTCTCGAGGACATCAGATATAGAGCCAAGCTGCATGGCTTGCTCTCGAGGAAGACCATTGTATAGATAACCATGTAGATCGAGTTTGGAACAGACTCCGCAGAGCGGGCCACCTTGTTCAGCGTTATCGAGATTGCGAGTGGGAGTGGAATCATCTTCGGCTTCGGTGAATAAGCCTAGGGTGCGAATGAAGGCTAGCGCAGCTTGACCCATGTTTCGGAACTCTATAGCAGCGGCAGGAAAGCAAATAGAAACCAGACTGCGGCAAAAGAAACAGCGAGCGTCTCCTACAGCCTCGTTCCAATCACGAGGCGCAACTCAAGTTGGTAGAGAGTCTAGTAGAGGTGTCTTCGAATAGACGCGCTGGCAAATGTGGCAGTGCCTTATACGCAGGTACCGTGGGGACTATTAATTCAACTGTAACCCAGTACAGCATCGGAAAACACAGCAAGGGTTGTAAATCCATACTTGTTTGCAGCAATATCAGTCAATGCCATCTATACAGTTTCAGGACGCACTTCGCAATCTCCATGCATACGCGCACTCTGCGATCCTGCTCATCACCCGAGAACAACAACCTCAACCTTTCCATTTGCCTCCAGCCAGGCGTCCTCGCGAACAATACCTACTCCAATCCGCTCCTTCATCCCCGTCGTTGGTTGCATTGCAAGAGCCATGACATACAGCGGTAAACCTGAGAAGTCCCTCTCGCTGGTTGACTGAAGTGTGGACTTCGCTCCACGACATATAACAGCAAACTGCGATGTGCTATGCGAGGGATACGTGGCGGGGAGGATGATCTGGCCTACCAGTCTTGGCCTATCTTCGATCATCATGATCGAAAATACGGAGTAATGGCGGCCGGTGAGTGGGGAATCATGATCCGTGCCCTGAGGACTGACAACGCTGAAGAACGCAGTGCTTGTTCGGAACACCAGAGCACCGGCACTGACAACGATGCCGTCTTGCCGCCAGCTAGGATCCCAAGGGATTGCAGTGGACGGCCGGCCAGCACGCTTGTCCTCAATCAGATCGGGGTCCATGATCACGGGGTTGGTGTGCTTGACGTTGAGATGCACCAGTTCGCCTTCATCATCTGCAAGGAACCAGCACTCGACGAGCGATTCGTCGATGTACGGGATGTCGTCTGCGTTTCGGATATCAATGAACTGCGCGTCTCCCGGATAAACAATTCGCCCTCGCCAGCCAGCCCACGCCCAAGATGGCCAGGGGGTGACGGTTTCACCATTCTTGCCAACATCAACGATGCGTCGGGTACACAGAGTATCGGGGTCAGATTGCCAGAGCAACGTACTCTCCAGGAACTGAATGGGCATTCCGTAGCGAAACGCACTCTTCGAATCCCCACCGTCAAGCTTGAGTCCCTGCGCCATCGAATTCGTGATCGCTGTCATTGCATCGTCAATATCCATCTCGTTAGTAAGCCTTCGCTTGGTGTACTCGCGTACGCAGCGCATGTATGTTTTCTCCCACTCCCAAACTGGCCACGAGCCCTTAGTACGTGACATGAACGTCGTCTTCGCCCGGTGCCTCGTGAGCCGGTGAAACTTGGCCATGCCATGTGAGCCCTCACCCTCGGTCTCGGCGACAAGATCCTCGGCCCATACATCAGTCGAGCATTCGAAGTACACCTGGACAGGCGTGAAGATGAGGCAGCGTCGCGAGAGCATGATCTCCTGGAATGTCCATCCACGAGTGTTCCACGCTGTTCGGGCGATCGCTTCGTCTGGGCCGGGGAGTGCTGCAGAGAAAAGGAGGTTTTGCACGTTCTCGATGCGTTGGTGAACCTCGCGAGTGTTGGCACGCAGCCCAGGAAGAGGGGCGTGTGCGGTAGTTCCGCCAGCAGCAAAGATAGTGAGGAGTGCGAATCCATATATGCGCTCCATGACACCTATCTGAATAACCTTGTCCGCAGGATCGTCTTGGACGATGCATAGAGCATCTACCCACAGGTAACGCTCGCCCAAGAGGCGCGTGAGGAGGATGGAGTCGGTAATGGTACCCGGTAGAATGGAGATGGGAAGCCCTTGGGGTCGCGAACGCGTAGGCAGGTTTTCCGTCGAGGTCCAATAAGATTCACCCACACCTCCCCAGAGGTAGCTTAAGGCAATATAGCGACATCCTGGCGCGACAGAGACGATCATCATCTCCTGAACGTCGATCATGCGCACCGTGCTTGGTAAGCTATTACCTTCTCCATTCCCTCTCCACCAATCCGACTCACAAGCCTCGCCGTGTGTGTGCTCGCATATCCGCAACCACTTCCTAATCAAGTCCAAATTCACCATGTCCCTGATGATTCGACCATGCTGCAGCTGCGAATGTCCAAGCTTGAGGGCGCTCTCTTGCATGATTTGAAGCGAGGGTGCAAGGTCAACCTTGGCAACTTCCATAGCGGAGAGGACCTGCGAGGACTTGAACGAGTATGCAAGGCGCAGCGCGTTGGCGGGGTCCAGGCCCATAATAGAGCCGGTGCGTGACGCGCAGATAGTAACCTCTATTGCTGAGAGATCCAGGCCCGGGCCGTAGTCTAATTCGTCGAGGAGCCATGTTCGACGGGTAATGGAAGTGATGAGGGCGCACAGGGCGCAGTTGTCTGCCCTGCTGAAGATGTTGGATATGGTGTCAAGGAGAACGGGGTCGTCGCCAATGCGTTTTCTGGGAAGCATGCTATGAATGTCGACCTTGGAACAGATGGAGCATAGTTGGGCCACTGGATGAGGGAGGGCGACGGAAGTGGATGAGGGTAAACTTGAACTTGAAGATGGTCCACTGGATGCAATTAGGCGATGCAGCTTGAAGCGTCTGAGAGTCGTCTTCGCCCGCTTCATGGCAAGACGCTAGTACAAGATGTGATCCAGTATCCGCCTTGTAAAAAGGCTATGTTGCAACTTCTGAAACACGAATACATACCAATGCCAGTCCACATGTTGCAGGACACCGCCACCGACCTCGCCGTCCCAACGGACGGTAGACCACTCGACAACAGCGTGGCAGCGGACGTCAGCTGATGCGCGAGAGTGACATGTCGGCCGACGCCTGCAATGATGCCGCGTCAGCTGACACCCTGGGCGCTGTAACTACAGGGCGCCGCTAAGCGCTGAGTAGCCGAGGGCTCCAAGCGGCGTCACTCCCGTGAGGCGGCGTGTGGACCCCCGGCCGTGACAAAGCCGTGACACTACAGCGGCGTGACCCAAGACGGCGCACCGTCGGCCGAAGTCAGATGAGCGATGTCTGAGCGCTGGGTGCCAGCGGCGTGATTATGGGTTATACCCTTTTTCTCATTGAATGCCGGGGTCATACGGGTTGGAGCGTCTTCCATCACAGCGATATCATATACGGCATTCGTGCATCAGGCATGTCCTTATAGTAAATATACCTGAGGGTGGAAAAACTCATTACTTAGTCGCCTCTCGGGATTTGCGTTGTCGTTTGTTGGGCGCTGCATGCACACCCGATGAGTCGCCCTGCAGCGCGGCAGCAGACATCTCAACTATGATCAGCGTGAGCGATGTCGCAGAGGATGTCAAATGATGAGGACTACTAACCATCACTGACAACGTGCACGTCACCCTTACTGGCACCAGATGGAATGTCGTGGCCCAGCGCACGGGCCAGAAAGCGAAGGTCATCGCGAAGGCCGCTTACCGCACCAGCCAAGTTGTTGATGCGCTGACTTTGATTGTCCACTACCTTCTTCAGAGATTCTTTGTGGGCTTTGACGTCATTTCGGGTCGCAGCGTAATTGTTGTCGACCGCACGAACGAGCTCCCGTATAGCGTCGGCAAAGCCTTCCATCCCGTCTACGTCTGCCGTCAGGTCCAGGACTTTGCGATCTATTGGGAAAGATAAGCATGTTGGACATCGCAGCTTTTCCAAACGCCTTGAGATGACGACATGCTAGGATGACGCACCAGCAGGGATCTCATGTTAAGTCAGTGCGGGAAAAAGGAGAGGTATAACTGACGTACTTTAGCTTTATTTCCTCCTTTACCATTTCCCTTCGCCGGTACTCGAGCTGCCGAGGATGCACTCTCTGGAGACGGCGCCTTTGACTCAGTCGTATGAGTAGAGCCGTTTGCCGCTTGAGACGCAACCAGTTTATCCTGTGTACTATCCCCCGCGCTTGTGTTGAACTTATTTTGATCGACAATGGCTACAGCAAGAGCCTGGGTCTGTTTTGCCTGGCGGGGACGTGGTTTCTAGAGGCAAACGCCCATATGACAAGTCAATGTGTGAACCAGGGCTGGCTGCGGCGATGATAAACGGCACCCACGGTATGGGACGGCTTAGGTACGTGAATGACATCTTCATCAGATGTTGGAGGCTCCGGCTGAGGTGATTGTGTGGCGATGCCGTCGTCCTTGACCGCATCTCTGTCCTTGCCTGCTGGCGGCATGGGGGTGGTGAACCGAGGGGTTGAAGGCGCCTTTCCCCTGACCTGGCGCCCAACCAGACGGCGAGGTGCAGGGGAAGGGGACGCCGGCGACGATGATGCTGGCGATGGAACTACAGACTCCGCAGGCCGCACGGGCTTCGCAAAGAGGGACACTGCTTCTGGACCTGGAGACATAGTCGAAGGTGCAGGCGGCGGGGTTGCTCGCTTCAACCTCATGAGATTACGCCAATGACAATACGCCATATCAATGATGATTACTTACTGTGAACTCTGGCTCATTCCACCATGCCGCCCCACAGTTGCTCACTTCAACGGGACGAAAACAATAGCGGTTGAGCACCCCATAAGTCTTTGGGTCCAATGAAAACGTCGGCGATTCAATGTTTCCCTGCTCATGGTACATAGCGACCACAATCGGGGTCAGCTTCCAGTCGAGCTTCTGACCATCAACCTTGGCATACTCGATGTAGGCCTCAAGCCACCACGCAGCATCGTCCTGGGTAAAACATATGGCGTGGAGCGCAATAGATAAAGAAAATTGCGCACCACCTCCTTACGCGCCCTCTCCAGAAAGGCAGCTTTTTTGACGCCGCCATCGTTGAATTTTGAGAACATCGCCGTCCATCGCGCGCTGTAGACCACGATCGCTGCAATCACTGATGTTGGTTTCTCAATGTCGAGTGTCCGAAATTTCTTTGGTAAGTAGTTGGGGAGCTTGAATACTGTGACTGGAGGCTCTTCTGCCATGGTTATGTGGTGAGGGTTGGACAACACGTAGCGGCTGAAGGATTCCGCGCGGCCCCTCCTGGGTTTAGGGTAAACTAAGACCCTTTACCCACAGAGACGCCGCGGGATTTCTTCAGGCCGCCAGCGTGTAAATCACCCAGCTAATTGCAGGGAGGAGCAAATGACGACGCCAGACCCTGGCCTCGTTTGATTCCCACCTCCTCGTATTGCCGCCAACGCACCTCATATCTCCCTCACATTAGCCTCAATCGTCATGAACGCGAGAGGTCGCCGCAGCCGAGGCGGACGGTCCAAATCCACAACCTCCGATCGTCGCGACCACAGTCCGGATCATGGCCATCAGGGATGGAAGTCTGAGGACATCGAGTCAAAGCTGGCCCCGGGCGCAGTTATGTACACAACTGACGTGGCTCGTCAAGTCGGCGCTGTCGGAGACGACACCGATAGCTCACCTGAATGGGGTGAGCAAGTCAGCGCCGTGTCGCACAATGTGCTCACAGTAGTATAGACTGGGAGGGACATGGGAGGGCGATGGCATCAAAGACTGAAGAACCGCCCATATCTCGCAGTCAGCGGCAGGAAATGGGGGCACGCCAAGGTAAGAAGTAACTTCATTCCATACGCTGCTCTCGCGATACCTCAGATGATGCTCACCCAGCTCACCTTTCCACCGAAGAGCGCAACGACAATAGAGACGTTGTAGCGTCAATGGTGGCTGCACGTCTACGCCGCCAGAATCAGGGCGCCAGAGGTGAAGACGCCCCAGGGAGTGCAAGGTCGTCCCAAAACGAAGCCCCATTCCAACTTCAGGGGGATGACGAAATTGCAGAAGCCCCGCTGGCGTTTTCTATGTTCGCTTCTGGCGGCTCCTACGACGATAGCGACGACGACGGCTACGACAACGACGACGACGACAACGACAACGACAACGACAACGACAACGACGACAACAACAACAACGACAACGACGACAACGACGACATGAACCCCAAAGGTGACCCTTCGACCAGCGCAAATGAAACCCACCAGCTTCAGGACTATTGGACAGGCCGGGCTGATTACGGCGAACCGGCGCCGTCTCCATCCGGAGATGCTGATATGTCGACAATTTTTGGTTGTAAGTCCTTGTCAATACAGAATAGTGGCAATAATCTTACTTTATATTTATGTTGGTAGCCACTCCATCAACGCCCGTATTACGTCGAGAACGGCAAGCCGAGGTTGCTGAGAATGTTCTAGAAAGTAAGCATGCCAAGTCGCCTTCAGTACGTCAGGTGCTCAGCTATATTGAACTGTAGACAACGTACCCCCAGATACAGTCGTTGGCGGTCTGGGCATGTTGACTCCAGCAGATATGACTAACATTCAATTCCGAAATGCAGTAATTTCACGCATGATGGCTGAGCACATGCATACCAACTCGGCATTCATTTTGAACGCGTTCGTTGATCATATGCTGCAGCGGCTAGAACCAGTCCGAGGGGAGACTGCAGAAGAGACGATTGAGTCACTTATTGGCATCCTCAACAGCAGCGAGGCACCGCTCCAGACGGTGTTTCCAATGCTAGAGGATGGACGCCAGGGCGGATGGACCAGTCAGTCAATCAACGCAGCCATACGTCAGCTTTCCCTGTTATTTATATTTGATGGAGCCGGGCGAGTACAGGGCGTTGACACTTCTGTATAATGGTACCTTTCTTGAATCAGAACCTGATTGAGATTTGAAAAACACGCACTCACCTTAAACACGTCGTTAAAATCCATCCTGAGCTATTCAGAATCATACTCACTGCGTGCAGGCGTCTGAATCGTGGAGTGCCTAGGGACTGAGAGTAACAACGTCACATTAAAAGCGAAAAAATACCATAATAACACGTTGTAGATATATGGCAGGAATAAAGTCCGTTAATCTTCCAAAATAACACCAAGACCTCCTTGGCGGCGTTTCACACGCTCCTCCATGCTTTGCTTCCAGAGACTGCCCTTCTCCGTACGCTTGCGTTGTCTTGTTGGGCGCGCGTTCTCCTCGCCCATGAAGTATACCTCATCCTCCATGGGCCCTGGGCTCTTGGGATCTTCGGGCTGGTCATCCTCAAACTCGTCGTTGTCCGAGGCTGGAGATGGGGCTCGGCGACGCCGCTGAACTGGGGTGAGGTTGTCATTCATTCTCTGAAGTTTCGGTGTAACCTCGATTGGAGACCACTCCGTGACTGGAGGCCGTTTCTTCTAAAACAAAGTGAGTATATATCTTTGGCTTATCGAGAGCACAAAATGCCATCTTACAGTCGGTGTGACGCCTAGACTCTTTGCTAGAGACTCAGGCAGGTCCCAATCTTGGATATCATCAACCTCATCCGCGCTTTCTTGTTCACTGTAGGCGTTTCGGCCGTCGAGTCGTCGAGCACTGAGGATAGCGCCGCGGTGTTTGGTGATAAGTCGCGGCTTCGGTATGGACACTCGGGGTTTGGGAGCATGTGGATTTGGCGTAGATGTACGAGATGCGCTCGGGCGTGATGTTGAGGCCGCTGTTGTAGACAATTCTTCGAATGTCTGTGCGTTAGCATCGCTGGCCGCTGATCTCAGGGCTGATGTCACACTCTTCTTTGACGCCGCCGCGGCCTGATACAGTGAGGTTCTTTATATCAATAGGACTCATACAAAGATCTGAATTGTTTCACCTTCGCAAACAATGTAGCCGCTGTGGGAGCAGCGGGAGTCGGCTTGATGGGCATCAGCAACGACTTCCTCCGAGGTGGGCGTCCACCTCTAAGCTCAATGAAGGAAGGTAAAAATCGGAAGGCGGCGTCAGGGCCGATGTTCTGTCTCAGTCGCCAATGTCGGATGAGAGCCTTGCATGCGGTGTCAAGCATTTTTGACGGGTCGTCGAATTGGCCCCAACTCCCGCGTGGGAGATAGTCAGGGGAAATGAAGGCCAAAGGCTTTGCCCGTAGTTCACTCCAAGGCACGCATGCGCCCTGTTGCGACGACGGCAAATCATATCGGAAGGAAGCCCGCATGACCTCGCGAACTATTTTCTGCAGCCTCTTAGCATTACAGCCTACCTCAGATGGAACCAGAGGGTAACCGTTGTCGTCAAGGGCGACAACGACATCGCGCTTTGAGCCAGCTGTGCCAGGTCTAGAAGCTCTGCCGCCGTCATCATCGCTAGACACTGTGGTAGTTGGCGAAGTAAATACATCAGAGATGGCGTCAACATCCAACTGACGGGGTGCTCATACCTTCATCAGGGTCGTTATGGTTGGCCCATGCTAACAGCAGGCGTTTTGCTTTCGCATCCCCAAGCGATGTCTTGAATGTGTCGACATCCTTCAGAAGCTCGTCGGTCCTGGGTATGTCAGTATTAATCATATATCAATAGCGATTGAACTTACCAACCATAGACCAACTGCCCTTTTGCGTTCTTATGGACCCACAATGCCGACAACTGGACGCCACAGTCCCGAGCTGCTTCAGTCATAAAAGTCTTCATCCTGGGAATAAAATGACGGTCGTATTCCCTATACCGCACGTCAAACCAAGCAGCATGATGCAACAAATATCATACCTTTCTTGAACATCGTCAGGCGGGCCCGAGATATTCCACCGGTCAGCTAGTGCGTCAAGAGCATCCCATTGAGCACATGTGAGGTGCCGGGCGACAACCTTGCGCGCAATACTCCAAGTGCCGAGCCACCTTTTCTTGTCCCCTGTGTCAACCGTGGGTTGGTCAGGATACAGCGATGCCCAGACGACACGCATTTCCTTGCGGATAGTCCGCACGTGCTTGTAGTCGAGGACCTTGTACGAGGTCCACTTCCCGGAGTGCAGCGGCCGTGTTCGGGAGTGCAACCTGAAGGTTGCTTCCACGCTCTAATATCAATTAGATACCATGAGTCAGGCAAATGTGAAAGTGCTCACAGTTTCAACGTCCACTTCTATTTCCAACGAGCACTCCTTCTCCCCCAGGATGAGCCCCGCAACCTTGCACACCAGGGCATGCTGGGCTTTGTCATTCCGGGCCTTCGAAAGCTTCTTCCAGGCAGGTAGGTACTTGTGGATGATGGCGTCATCTTTCTTGGAGAGGATATAGATGGTATCAAGGCCGTCATCCTCATCCTCCTTGCTGCCGTCTGCATTGGCAGGGAGGCCTACGCCATCAGCAGGCTCTGCGAGGCTGTGAGGCATGGAGTGGTTGGCGGTGGCCCTGCATGAAGACGGGCTCCCTGACTCTTGCACCACAGTGATCTGACTCTTCGGGGCAATCGAGGACGCTGGGCGGTTGGTAGGAATTGCCCGCTTGGCAAGGTTGGCAGCGATTATGGCAGCTATGCGGTTCGCGGAGGTGGCGGCACCAGTGAGCGTACTGACGGAGCGGTTGGTGTCAGGAGTTGTGATGGCGGCGGCATCCTCTTTGACGGAGTCAGCTGCACGAGCGTCGATGGCGTCGCGTGCATTGGCATTGCGAATAGCATGGTGATGGGAAGCTCGAGGATACGGTTGGCATCGCTGGTTGTGTGAGGTAGAGACTGAAGGCGCATCATCGGATGACGACGTGGAATGGCATGGCGAAAGCATGGCGCCAGAGTGAACGACCGTCCGAGCCATAACAGATTGAGGCCATTGAGGTTATATACCTCATGGAAATGACATAGGTCTATCAACGCGCGGATACAATCTGCTCATTGCTAAGCCAGTCGGATTGCGGCCCGGATTGTTCAACTTTGGAACCTCAGGAAGAACCCATTCCGTGGATGGCAGCTGCTAGCTACGGCTCCGTTAATGTGGGACCGCGACCGATTTCCATCCCTGCACGGCAATGCCTGTAGGAGGGCGACCCTGCATTTCCATGAATAGGTGTTTTTATTGGACACCTGAGCGGTAATCGTGGTCGCAAATTCACCGGACAGTTTGACTGGAGTAGCCCTGATAACGAGCTGAAGCGGCATCTATACACGGCGCCGTTGCTCTCGGATGCAAACTTGGGCGCCTTTCTTTAGGCGGCATTTTGGCGAGTGGCTGTGCCAGCCAGACTTCGGGCGCGTCACATCCAACTCGGTCGCTTCTGCCCGGGTGAAAACTTTGGTTCCAACGGTCGGCTCCGTCAACCTTACACCAACGTGACATTTTCAGGGCGCCTGCCTTGTCATAAACAGCAGAAAAACTCCGCAGGCTCAGGCATGAGTCTCCTCTCCCAATCGTTGGCGCCATTATATGATCCTGACGGCATGATCATGAAAGGCTAGCTTTGTTGAGCCTCGGCGGGGCTGTCGCTTCTCGCCTGATTTAACCTTGGACGCTCCGATGATTGGTCATCTGCATGTCACATGTGTATATCTTTGTATTGGCTATACTTGGCTCATTTATCAGATGTTTGATAACAGTCGGGCGTTATCTAGACTAGCTGCCGCCCGAATCTCCTCTCGTCTCCATCATTTGCATCGTCC